GGGCTTGTGTGTGTATGTTAGAGCTTTAAGCATCCTAATCGTTGGTTTCTCTTGCATTTTGCAGGTGGGAAGTTCTACTGGTAACACTATAAGATATCTCTCCTCTCTCTCTCTTAGGAAGTTGAGGTTAAAGAACTTTGAGAAAAATCTCTAACTCACGGTGAGTAGAGAGTTATTGTATTTGACATATATAGAAAGATTTATGTGACCACCTCTGTCAAGACCAAACAAACAAAAAAAATCTGCAAGAAACAAGGCAAGAGAGATAGGACTCACATATGGCGTGAAGAAGGGGTAGAATCAAACTAAAGGGTCTGTAGTTTCACCGTAGGAGTTTTTTATGGCGTGAAATAACACTTTGATTCAAAGTTGGTCTGTGTATAATATTTCACATGTTAGGGAATTTAAATGATTAAGTGATAAATTTTAGGGGTCTGGGTGTAATTCTCTATTTTCTTTTAACTTGGCTATATTTCTTGAGTTTGAATATTGGCAACTCATCAGGATTATGTATAAATCTCTCATGAATACCTTAATCTCTATGTGGATGAACTATTTTTGACTAGATCAAAAAAAGATTAGTTAAAATACACGTAAACTAGTCCGAATACTTCTAACTATTAAATAAAAAAAAAATAGGGTAGTGAAATTTCAAAATTTTCAAGTCCATAGCACATGCATGAAACCTGGTGTATATATTATTTTATTTGTTTTTCTCTTTTTATAGTTTTTATATGCAACCAAGTCCAATGCACCAGTTCAACTGATGACATATGGTACAAAAGTTTATATTTTGTTGGGCTAAGATATAAGTTATTTGAGTTTAATTATAATAGAAAAGTTATGATTAATCCTAAAATTTAAAGAATTATATTAGAAAATATAATTTTTTGGGATTATATTACAGCTTTTGATGTTCAACTTATAATTTTTTGAGGGTTCAAATTACAATTTTTTGGGGTACTTGAGATCATTCCTAAATGTTGAGATTAATCTTAAATTTTTGAGATCGATCGCAAAACTTTCAAAAAAATGTGAATAATCCCTAAAATTATACAAAAATTTTAAAAAAGTTATACATTCTTGTATGATATCGATTTTTTTATGGTATAGTAGAATTGTCATTTATCCATTTATACTCAACTATTAAAATTATTTGTCAATCTGTTTCATTATTAATATTAGATTAATAATAGATTCTATTCAATATTATTTTCATTGCTAATTAAATTGCAACAATATCATATTTATGCTTTGTTTGGTATGATAAAAAATTAGAGGGATAGATAAAATATCATGTTTTGTAAGGAAGGAAAACAGGAAAGGTAGAAAAGTGGATGTATTAATTTTCCATCAAACTCACCTAAAATCAATTTCTCCAAAATTAGGAGGAAAAGTATATGGAAAATTAATTATGTGTGTTGAAATGTATCATATTTGTCTATATATAATTTGATATGTACATATACCATATTTATTAATTAGTTATTTCCGGCACGGAGTAATAAAAAATAAGTTAACAATAAACATATTTATATTTATATTCAAAATCAAATTACAAAGATAGAGAAAAAAAAAAAATTTAAGCATCGATTATAGTGAGAGCGAATGGTGATGGGCGACAAGGGTAGTGATGGGTGACAGGGATAGTGGTGAAAAATGGTGATGATTGTGTTGGGTGACGACAACCAATTGTGATAGTGGTAGCTGTGAGTGACAATGGTAATGATGGTGGTGAGGGTGGGGGTAGTGGGGATGGTGGTGGTGTGGTGGCGACAGTGATGATGGTGGGACGGTGGTGGTGGAGTTGCAGCGATGACAGTGGTGATGGTGGTGGTGGGGGTGAGAGTGGTGGTGGTGGGAGTGGGGTGACAATGGTGGTGGTGGTAGTGGGGTGACAACGGTTGTGGTGGTGGGGGTGATAGTGATGGTGGGGCAGTTGTAAACACTATTTTTTTTAAAGTACTTATGAGAAGTTATAAGTCTCTTTAAAAAGTTATCTCAAACACACCCTTAGACCCCTATTTTTCTTATTAAATTTGAGGTGTTAATATTAATCGTCAGATTAATTTTAAAGTAAAATTTAAAGAGATATCAATCGCGAAATGTAAAAGTTATTTTTGTTTATCTTTTAAGATTTGAATTGTATTGTACTTTGTTATATAGATTATATGTTATATATACATTATTTTTATATATAGATATAGTGGTAAAATTACGTATCTATACTTTTTTCATTATTCTACTTTTTCATCCAACTAAACACAAAAAAAATAAATTATTTTTAATTTCTATCCCTCGTACTAAACACAAATGAGTGAAAGAATAATTCATCCCTTAAATGATAGAAAGTGCATCACTTCTACTTTTCATCCTCTCATTTTTTTATCCACCGTACAAAACACGTCATTAGTTAATTGAATATAACAAGCATTAGTCTCTTGTTTTAAAAGAGAGCTGTCACAAAGAAATGCTTGGTTAAAACCTCAACAGTATCTTGTAAAAAAAATCCATATCAACCACAAAGTAAAAAAAAAAAAAAAATCCATCTGCTAGACTAAATTCAAAAATTAATATGTAGAAGTAATATAGATTGGGGTTTTTTGCGTTTTGTACTTTGAAAGATTTTAATATTTTTTTTTGTACCTTTAAAGATTAAATTTTTTATATTACACACTCTATGTATAAAAAATGTTGCAATACTGCCCCTCATATTAGTTTTTGTTATTTTTTTGTCAAAAGCTAACTTATTGATATTGACGAAAAAATTAACCAAATGATCACATCGTAGTATATTAAGGGTATAATATAATTAAAAAATTAATATTTGAGAGTGCAAAGTAAGAATTTTGAAATCTTTCAAGGTACAAAATATAATTCTGCCTATGCCTATAGATAGATAGATTGATAGACTATAAGACTTATTAATTCAAAATTCCAAATTCAACTCTCATTTTATAATCTAACTTTATTTCATGTATACAATTAGCTATATCTACAATCTTTATTATAACTTTAAGGAGATATTTGTTTAGTGTATAAAAAGTGACTAAATTAATTTAATTGTCATTTAATATTAAGTTTGGATCAATTTATAAGTAGCATCGATAAGTTGTTAAAAGTAATATTTAACACTCCATATTTGGTATAAATTAATACTATATAATATGTGATATTAAATTAAATTTGACATGATTGATGTTTATTGTTGCACGGATAATCCGTGTTTAAATGCACAGTACAATGTAAATGATTTTGAGAGGAATATTGGCGGCCGTTGGATGAGTATATTTGAAATTGTCGAATAAACTTATTGAAATCTGTCATATTTTATATTATAGATATAGATAGGATACATTAATTCCTCATTCCCTAACACTATTTTTTTTAGGGTTATTTTAGGATTGACCCGCCCAAACATGCACTAAATCTAAAACAAGGGGATGAATCAAAGTAACAAAGAAAATAAATAATCCAAAAATATCACCGTCCAATTTCTGTTTTAATTAAAAAAACATTCCCCCAGGCGAATTTCTTATTCTCACGGTACTTGAAATGAAGAAGAAATTATCAATAAATTTAACAGAAAACTGATTGCTACGCTTATGGACGCCGCCCCTGAGCTCTCTTTGATTTTTCATTCACGTATTATAGGATGTAAAATTACCAAAATAGGCATAAAAACATTTGAGTTAATTACAAAAATTCCTTAAACTTAGGGGTTCTTACACATCACCCCCTCAACTATTATGAGCTTCACTTTAATTCATTCAACTTATAAATAAAATGCAAATCATAAATCAGAATAAGGGGTAATAAATCTCGTAAAAATCTAAAATATCCAACGTTTTTGTTTTGAATTTTCTTTGCGATGCCATCCCCTTAAAAAATATATGAGAGTAGAAAGGAAATCTATAATAACCAATCTTCAACTACCAAACATCATTGTTGATAGACATAATTTTGACATTGGTCTTTGAATCATGTTGGTCATAAGGTGGGAAAAATATTGTTGACACGTTTGCAATCATATGTATATGTGTTAGGGGAAACATGTCATCTGACACCGCCCATGGACATCTGAATTAATCATTGACACACGTCTGATGCAGGAGAACATGCTTGGGTTAGCTTAATAAACACTCAATAGTGCATGATTAACGGTAACGATGATCTTTTACACCAAAAACTCAATTAACCCCAACTATAAAAACTCTCATTAATTAAGGTTTAAAGGTGAGTAATTCTTAGCAAAGATACATACACGAATAGTTATTATTTTTTTATTGCATTTGACCTTTATAAAATCTGTTAATTGACTTAAGGATTGGAGGTGGTTCAGCTAGCGATATACTAGTTTCTTACTTGAAGCTTTCTTTTACAAGCCTCTGGATTTCTAAGCTAGCCAAAGTAGACAAAGATCTTCATACAACGACCTTTCTATTAAAATCCTCTAAAGTTCAGAACCAAAATACTGATTGATCCATCAATTGCCTTGATTAACTCTAATCATCACAATGTATAAAGTACTTAGACCACCAAATTGTGCGTGAGAGAGATGAAGCTGAAAGAGAGGGGTAATGGAGACGAAGAGAGAGAGAGTAAGGCTTTTATTATTTTGTGAAGAGATATATGGACAAATAAAATTATCATTTAATATGTTATTTTAAGTAAATAATTATCTGATTCTCAGCTCACATGCTTATTTAATGTGTGTAACACACTCATTTTTGAAATAATAGCATTTGCACTATATTCGCAAGTATGAGGGACTTAGTTTAATGTGAAATAGTTGAGGGAGTGATATGCAACTGATCTTAAAGTTAAGGGCTAGTTTTGTAAATCATATTGTTTTGTTTTCTGCGTTACATTGATCTGAATTGTCAGAGACACCTTCCGCACCAACCTCCGAATGTCCTCACTCGGCCAAAAGGGTAAAGGTCATTCTTCTTCCTTCCTTCGCCACCTGCTCTCTCTCTGTCTCTCTCTCCGGCTTTTTTGTGAATTTCTCTCACCAAGACACACTCCTTCTCAAGGTCTCCTGGTGAATTGTTTCTCTATCCCTCTCTCCCCCATGTGGTAAGGTTTAGGTTCGGTGGTGGTTGCGTCCATGGAGAGGAAGGAGGAAACGAGTACTTCATGGAGACAGTTGAAAGCTATGCTTCGGAAGAACTGGCTTCTCAAAATTCGTCACCCTTTTGTTACATGCGCCGAGGTATATGAGACGCTCGCGAACATCTGTAGTTACATGTCTTTTCTGATTTCTTTTGAGTTTTACTGTAATATTGATTGATTTTATTATGTATTTTTTGGCGTAATTAGGTTAACCACTTGCTTAGCATATGCTCTTCTTTAAAAATTGGGAGTTTCTTTGATGGTTGATCTCTCACAGTTATTGTTTTCACGTTTAGTTGACTCTTGAGAGTTGAGAGTAAGAATCGATTTTTGAGGGCTAGTTTTGTTGGTGATCATATTCTGTTGGGATACTTGTAATCTTATCATCATCACTGGATCTTGACTTTTTGGCTATGATAGAACGAAGTGGTTATGATTCACTAGGAGCTGATCGGTTTTGTCTTTTAAATATTTTTGGGGAAAAAGTTGACCGAAGTTTGAGCTTGAATGCTTAATTTCTATTTTTTTTTCAGATATCTTTTATCCGCATAAAATTCCGACTTTGGAAATATTATAATCCCAAACTTGAGATTTTTATATTATTTGCAATGGAAGTATTGCAGTTTTTTTTTTTGTTTTGTGTATTTATATGTCACTCCTTTTGGGCAGATTTTTCTTCCAACAGTTGTAATGCTTCTGCTAATAGCGGTGAGGACGCGAGTTGATACAAAAATTCACCCATCTCAGCCGTATGCCTTCTTCAACTGTGGTTACGTTCTATGATAAGTACACAAAATTATATGCCATTATATTTAGTAACTTCTATCCAGCATTTGGTTGCTGCATGATTGTGAAATGGAGAAGACATGGGAGTAGTTCACAATGCCAAATTGGTGTAATCTGTCAAGTATAAGTGATTTTTGTGTTTTTAAGTCTTGGATGATGAAGAAGTGTAAAATTTATACTCATGTTTTTACCCTTCTCAGTGGATTATTTAGCAACCAAATGGAGGATTGGAGTAGAGGAGGGCAATGGAAAAGAAAAAACCAGAAGTACCTTGTAAATATAACTTGGATTTCAGATTTATGTGAGAATTGTTTTCTTTTAAGGGGTTTTAAAATTATGTGTAGGTATATACGAAAAGATATGTTTGTGCAAGTGGGAAAGGATGGTACGTCCCCTCCATTCAATCAAGTTTTGGAATCTTTATTGGCCAAGGGCGAGTTTCTGGCCTTTGCACCGGATACAAGCGAGACAAGGATGATGATCAATATTTTATCTCTTAAATTTCCTCTATTGAAGGTACTTATTTTGCCTCTGTGTAGCACATTGTGTTACTTAGTTTGGAATTTAATTTTCCTTCAATATGTTGCTTAATTTAAGTAGTTTTGGGTTTTTCATTATCTTTATTTCAAAATGTTTCATTCTGCTTTCGTGATGATAATAAATCGGATTGAAAAAGTAGTAAATTAATATCAAGTTGATGACTAGTTGCCTATCATATTGTGCCAATGTTGTGCCATTGGAAAAACTTGTAAATGCCTGTGGTCTTGTACGGTAGTATCTACATGATCTTGTTCACTCACTCCTGTACGTACGTGATCTTGTTCACTCACTCTTGTACCTACGTGATCTTGTTCACTCACTCTTGTACCTACGTGATCTTGTTCATTCACTCTTGTATCTACGTGATCTTGTTCACTCACTCTTTCTGGGAGCTTGTATGTTGTTTATGCAAGTATGGTTTGAGCTATCAGTGACTCACTATTGTCAATGTGAGCTATGGTTGGATTCAACCAGTTTCTCAATGCACATGCATGGAGCCAGTTATGGGCTAGAGGGGCCCCTGGACTTTTCATTTAGAATTTATACTGCTATGTATATAGTCTTGTACGGTTGTACCTATGTGATCTTGTTCACTCACTCTTTCTGGGATCTTGTATATTGTTCATGCAAGTATAGTTTGATCTAATTAGAAGACTGATGTGATGTGAGTGAGATTTATGTTACTAGTTATTCTTGGTGATGGGTGGTAAAACCAGAAAAGATAGATTCAGAATGAGTATATAACGACGGTACATGGAAGATACATTAAGAGAAACTCAATTTTGTTTACTTGGACTTGCTTATAGAAGTTTTATTGTTCCACTAGTAAGGGAGAGTGATATGGTGCATATCAGTGGTAATGTGAGGAGCAAAGGTACGGGTGTAATTATTTCAAACAGAGGCACATTAAGGATATTGAACCAACTTTTGCGCTAATAGTTTTAGCTTTGATAGCATTTTCTAATCTTTGGTCTTTCTACATCAACTGTAAGAAGGTTGACATCAGCTTTGGTTCCTCTTTTCTTTTGATTCTTTGTCTATATACTAATTTTCCTTGAGGAGTTTCTGAGTTTTGATATCATTTGAGGATTCTGCATTGTAGGCTCTGGCTTCTTATGTGTTTCTTGGAGCTCTGTTTCTTCCTGCCCTCATTCTTCTAGTTAACCTAAGAGACCCATGGTCCTCTGCTATGCATTTTATTGTACTTCCAATTAAGTTTCTTGCAAATTTTCAATGCTTGTATAAGGTACAAGGTTGAATAAGTACGCAACATTTCTGACGTGAAATTGTACAAATTCCATATGAACAAGGACTTAATAAACGAACTACTTTTCACCAGAAATCAAATGAATAAACACAGTTTTGTGCTGTCTTATTTTTTTTTTTTTGGGAGGTGGGGGGTTGGGGGGTGGGTGGGTAATTGAAATAACTTATCTTAGTTGCAGTGATTCCATGATTTTCATATTTTTTTGGAAGAGCGACATGGTCATAATTAACTTCAAGTGAGATGCTAAAAAATGATTTGATAGCTTGCAATTTCATAGAAAATATGTCCTTTGATAGAACACAATGACAAATGTGATTACATAGCCAACCTTAAAATAGTTGGGAGACGGCTTAGTTGAGGTGAGTGCATTGACATGATCACTATTAATAGGGAGAGAGGTGCTAAAGAAAAATATGATTGCTTGTAATTCAAACACAACATAGCTCTTGAATTGGCATAGCAGAATGCCAAAAAATGATTCATGTAACCAATCCTAAATAATTGACTCAAGTCTTTAGTTTGGTTTATTATGTTTTATGTTTGTATTTTTGGGGGATAAGTAATGATTATAGTTCTCATATATGCAGTTGGTTACGAGAGTTTACAAAGATGAATCCGAGCTTGAGACCTACATACGCTCAGATCTTTATGGATCTTGCGATCAAGTCAAGTGAGTTATATTTCTCTTATTATTTTGTGCTGCAGTACTTGTAAGGTGGTGATATGTTGAAAGTATTGTTACATCGATTTGCCAAAATATTTGTACAGAGCTACTATAAGGAAAGAAGATTAAATTTTTGGCATAAGGATAGAGAATGTTAGTGTCCTTTTGTTTTGTTTGAATTTAAATGTAGAGTGGTTGATATTCGACTTTAAGTGGAAGCCTTAAACATTTTTGAATAAAATTGTGTAATGTTTCGTGTTTTAAATGTTTTTACTGCCACACACTTCCTGTTGCAATGATCTAGGGAACCACTCTCTATGGAATTGGTGAGTGACACGCTATATTTCAGTTTGTGTGTGTAGGTGTGCGTGGGCTTGCCATAATGGATAGGAGAAGCCATTCTTTTAGTTGGCGTTATTTGGTGTTTTATGATGAAATTTGTTGCTAGTAATTAGTTCAGTAATTACAATTGTTCTTCTCTCTCATTCACTCTCTCTCTCGTTTGTGTTTTTAGAATTGGATGAGTTAAGTTTGCTTATGCTTACTTGAATACCTATGTATATGTCAATATGCAGTTTTTAGCCTTGATTTCTTGTCTGAAGCTATATAAAAGTGATATTTATTGTTAGTTATGCATTATCTTTAGCTTGAGGGTATTCTTGTACTTTTTACTTATATATATATGAGTTGGGGTGTAGTTGTGTAACCTAATACACTACACTCTTCCGATATTTTTCTTCGTCTTCTTCTTCTCTCTTCCTCTTTTTTTTAAACCCTCGCGACTTGATAATCTAACTTGGTATTTGAGCATTGATTTATATCTGAAGCCCTAAAGTTGTCGAACATCTTCGGAAATTATCACAAATAATCATAGTGACATCAGCGACTCAGGTTGACGTCCGCTACTCACGTTGACGTCAGCGACTCACATGCTAATGTCAGTGTCGTACCTCGTTAGAAATTTTTGCAATTCATATGGGAGATTCGACTTGGTCTGCCTAGGATTATGGTGATTTTCTTGGATTTTTTTGAAACCATCTGATTAAGTTTTCGAATTTTTGAATATTTTCGGCATTTTTGAGATCCAAACTGCAATTTCTGGTTTTGAGGCCTTTTTTTCTGTTTTTTTTTGGTTGGATCTCACTGAGAGGACACCGACTAGGGTCGATCTACATTACCCATGGAGTTTTGTTGCATTTGGATCAATTTTGGGATGATTTTCCATCAGATCTGAGAGTCGGCAGTCCTCTTTTTGCCTCTTTTTCCCTTCTGCCGAAGCTGGTCAGTTCCAGCTTCCTGTTCAAGACTGTTTTTGGCTTCTGGTGCTGTTTCAGCCACTGTATGGCTATTGGGTTGCTGGTTTTTGGCACCTGGGGTTGTTTTAGCCACTGTTTGGCTACTCGGTTCCTCCTAAGAAACCAAGCTGGCAGATTCATCAAGCAATACTCTGGAAATTTCACTCCACAACAATTGAGTGGCATAAATTCTATCGAGTGGTTGCCAAAGTTGGGATCCGTTGCCACAAATAATAGCCAAGAACAAGAGAAAAACGGTTAACCTCTCCAACTAGATTGCGAGGACATGCAAGTAACTACTTTTTTAGCTAAGTGGAACGGAACTTACAAAGGTTGGACAATCTTAGTGGTTTTTACTGTTTGGACATGTCTGACATGAGTGTAACTTACACTTACAGGAATGACATTTATGATAAGGATACCTTAAAGGGTGATTATTGTGAGAAGAATAGATATACTATAAAGTTTTGTTGAAAGCTGACTGGACGACCTACACGTGGCCGAGGTGGTACTGTGCGATCCAATGCACATATGACTGAATCTTCAGAGCATCCATCTCAGTTTTGTGGCAATATTTCCACTTGAGAAAATGCAAACTCTTAGACGTGTGATGACTCAGTTTGATGTTTCCTCAAATCATGCTTCTTCTACCAGAGTATCTAATCATGCATTTTTGTCTTCCAACTGTGCTCAAACAGATATATCTGTTTGTGCATTTAGTGTTTCTTCCTCATACACTCTATGGATAATCGACTCTAGTGCCACGAACCACATGACGGGTTCGTATAGTCTTTTCTGTTCATATTCTACATGTTTAGGTAGGGATAAGGTAAGATTAGTTGATGAATTTTTATCCACTATTTCAGGAAAAAGTTCAATTAATTGCTCTTCAGCCATACCTCTTTCATCCGTTCTTCATGTTTTCAATTTTTCTACTAATTTATTGTCTGTTAACAGTATTACGAATTCCCTTTTACCCTACTCATTGTATCTTTTAGGATTTGAAATCGGGGAAAACTATTGTGGTGGTAGAGCACATGATGGTCTATATCTGTTAGGTGCCGAAGTTTCTTCTCATTTTACTAGTCAAGCACTTAAAGCAGACGGTGTTTTGATTCTTTAGCTCTTACATTAGTGACATAGACGTTTAGGGCATCCTTCATTTGGTGTCTTGGATAAACTTTTCCCTAATCTAGTGAAGCGGTGTAGTAGGCATATCTTTATTTGTGATGCTTGTGAATTTACGAAGCATAAACGTTCATCTTATTCTAGTACTAATAATAAAAGCACGACTCCCTTTGTCATTATTCACTCTGATGTGCGGGGACAGTCTTGTGTTGTCTCTATTTCTGATTATTATTAGTTTGTCACTTGCTTTAATTATTATTCTTATCTTACTTTAGTTTACTTACTTCGTATTAAGAGTGAAGTTTTCTCTTGCTTTCGATCTCTTTATAAAATGGTGAGTACCAAGTTTGATGCTAAAATTAAAATTCTTCAGAGTGATAATGAGACTGAGTACATAGGTGGGGAATTTCGTTCCTATCTTAATGATAACAACATTCTTTATCAAACTTCTTGTGTGAGTACTCCTGAATAAAATGACAGTGAAAAAATCGTCATCTTCTTGAGGTTGCTTGTTCGTTGATGTTTACCATGAATGTTTCTAATTCTTTTTGGGGAGATGTTGTTCGTACTTCTACTTGTCTTATTAATCTTCCTTCATCAGTCCTTCAGTTTAAGTCACCTATTGAGTGTTTTTCTAGAATTTATTCTATTTCTTCCCTTCCTCCTAAAGCCTTTAGGTGTGTTTGTTTCATACATGATTACAAATGCATTAGGGGGAAACTTGACCCCAAGGCCTTGCAATGTGTTTTTATTGGTTACTTTCCTACCCAAAAAGGATATAAATGCTATCATCCCCAGTCTCAAAAGGTGTTTGTTAGCATGGATGTTATCTTCCATGAAACTAGGGTATTTTTTTTCTAGTTTTCAACCATCTCTTATGGGGGAGAATATTACCATTGTGGAAGAGATGGTATGCCAGAAACTTTTTCTTCAATTGCCTGTTCAGTAGAATATTGGTAAAAGGAACAAAACTTATTGAGGAAAAAGGAGGTAATACTAATGGTCCATCTGGTATTTGCCCACACAAGGATAATTTGAAGACTTATTCGCGGCGTCATATGGTACAAGGACAGACTATTACTCTAGTTCAGACACTTTCTAGTGATTTATTAGGTAATAAACTTTCAGATGGTACTCCGGTTGATAATCCTATTGTTGATGATTCTGAGCTTCCTATTGCTGTCATAAAGAGTGTTAGAACTTGTACTTGACACCCTATCTCTAACTTTGTATCTTATGATTCTTTATCTCCATCGTATCGTGTTTTTATTTCCTCCTTATTTTCTGCATTTATTCCTCATGGTTGGAAATAAGTTCTCACTGATCCTAAATGGAGAGAAGTTATGGTAGAGGAAATGAAAGCCTTGAGAGAGGACGACCCATGGGAGCTAGTTTTGTCTTTTTGATGGAGCAATGACAATAGGGTGCAAATGAGTGTTAATTGTCGAACATCAAAGCCTATGGGACAACCGACAGGTTCAAAGCAAGGTTGGTTGCTAAGGGCTTCGCCCAGATATATGACATTGATTATCAGGAGACTTTTGTCCTGCGACAAAGGTGAACTCTATACGTGCTCTTCTTTCATGTGCAGCTAATCTAAGTTGGAGTTGCAGCAGTTGGACGTGAAGAATGCTCTTCTTCATTTAGACTTGGAAGAAGATGTGTATATGAAAATTCCATTAGGTTTTTCATCCCATTAAACGAAGGAAAAATATGTAAGTTGAAGAAGTCTTTTTATGGGTTAAAATAGTCTCCCTCTGATAGGTTTCTCAAAGCTATGCTTAAATTTGGATATAAACAAAGCCATGCTGATTATACTATATTCAGCAGACAAAGATGATGAAAAGATAACTGGTTTGATTGTGTAGATAGCCGCCAAACTTAAAGTCTAGTTGGCTAAGGAGTATGAAATCAAAGACTTGGGTCTATTGAGATACTTTCTTGAGATTGAGGTTGCTAGATCAGATAAAAGCACTTTTATCTCCCAGATAGAGTATTTTATTGACTTTCTTGAAGAAATAGGCATGTTGGGATGTAGACCTACTGATTCTCCTATTAAGGTCAATCATTAATTGAGTAGTAGAGTTGATGATGTAGTTGATAAGGAGAGGTATTAGAGTTCATTGGGAGATCGATATATTTCTCTTATACTCATCCAGATATTGCTCATGCAGCCGGTGTTGTTTATTGTTAGTCAGTTCATGCATGATCCTCTTAACTCCTTAACGTATTTTGTGGTATCTCAAATTCTCAATTTAGCTCTAGGAAAAGGGATTTTTTTTTTCAAATGTGGTCACTTGAAGTTAGAAACATTTATTGATGTAGATTGGGCAGGTTCAGTGTGTGGCAGACGATCTACATTGGGCTACTGTAGTTTTTCTAAAAAAAAAAAAAATGTGGTAGTTATGTCTAGTGCTGAGGCTAAATATAGGGCAATGGTTCATGGAATTTGTGAGCTTTATTTTGCTTAAAACCTTACTGGGAGAGCTCAGAATTTATGAAAAATGGGCCTATGAGACTGTACTATAATAATAAGGCTTTTATTAATATTGCTCATAATCCAGTTCAATATGATAGAATTAAACATGTTGACATTGACGGATACTTTATCAAACAAAAGTTAAACAAGGGTTTGATTTGCATACCTTTTGTGAAATTGGAGAACCAATTGACTGATGTTTTTATCAAGGGACTTAGTAGCAAGATTTTTCATCATATTGTTTGCAAATTGGGCATGAGAGATATCTATTATGCACCAACTTGAGGGGGACTGTTAGTTATGCTTTATCTTTAGCTTGAGGGTATTTTTGTACTTTGTGCTTATATATATAAGTTGGGGTGTAGTTGTGTAACCTACCACACTACTCTCTTTCAATATTCTTCTTCTTCACTCTTCCCCCTTATCAAACCCACCCAAAACGAAGAAGAAAAAGTGTTTATGATAGAATTGGAAATTCATGTTTCTATGAATTGTGAAATTGTCACGTATGTTTTGATTTTGTACAAGTGGCAAAGGTTTCTTTGTATCATTTCCACATGGCTTATGAAATTTTCAATTAAATATTTTGGGTTTTTTACCTCCTGCTTGATTGGAGTCAAATGAATCTTTATAGGTTATGTTAATGTTTCAAGGCACCAGCTGAAGACTTTAACTGATATTTTTCCTCTTGATATAGGAATTGTACGAATCTGAAAATCAAAGGAGCAATAGTATTTCATGATCAAGGTCCTCAGTTATTTGATTATAGCATACGCCTCAATCACACGTGGGCTTTCTCTGGATTTCCTGATGTTAAGAGTATCATGGACTTGAATGGTCCTTTTGTGAATGACTTGGAACTAGGCGTTAATATTATACCAATTCTGCAGTACGGCTTCAGTGGTTTTCTGACTGTATGATTTCATAGCTCTCCATCTTCTTCGTCTTTTGTATAGATATTGTTTATGAATACTTGTTACTTCTCTTTAAGTTAATGAGTTATTGCAGTTCTTACAGATTTAGGTTGGGAGATCATTGGTAAATGATATGGGGAATGCCTTAGTAGTACTCTTTTTATTTTGTTGCTCATTTTGTCCTTTAGGTTCTTGATAACGGTACAAAGTAGACTAGAGAAGAGTGATTATATACTATTCCTAAACTTTAGAAGGAAAAGAGGGTCGATCATCTTTGAAGGAGTAAGACAATTAAAAGCTGGCTAAAATTGGGGGCACAACTCACTCATTACACTAGGAATATACCAAAAGAGCCTGGGAATATGCACAAAAAACGTTCAAGACAAAAACTCCCCATGTGAGCTCCACAGCAGAATATATCCAAACACATCTTGTTTAGCCAAAATAAAAGCGGTCCAAGCACCAGGAATTTAAGTTTACATAAGGGCCCTCCCACTTTTTTTATGTAGCTGCATAATCATATATTATACAGATTTCTCTAATGCCATTCCAAACCAAGAAGGAATGCAAGAGTCCATGGTCCTCCTTCTGAGTACTCCTCTCACTCTCCCCGGAGTGAGTTCTTTTTGCGGGATGTAGGGATTCCTATCCTTTGTCAATAATGCTATTATCACGACTGCCAATATTACAGTTCCTGCCAAAAGATTCATTTTACTTTTCTGCTCCGGTTGCTTGCTTTTTGCTTCCGCAGCTCCTTCTTTTTGTGCTTAAGGGAAGTTCAACCCCCTGCAACTACCCTTCTATCCCTCAGATAGACCACATAAGGCATGTTGGAGCTGCATCCCATTTCCTTCTATTACCCCTCTTGAAGCAGCTCCACTTCTAACTGTGGAGCCGTGCTTCCATTGTCATAAATGTAACCCAAGCTATCTCAATTAAAGCAACACACATTTTTGTGAACTCCCAACGGAACAATAGATGATTTTACCTTTCGCCTCAACCTCTTGTGCATGTAGCACCAATTGATATATAGAATTTTCCTGCACCATTGTATAATCTCTCCATCTGGAGATGTGGTCAGTACAAATCGCCTCCTTTTAGCAGGGCTTTTGTTCTCCCAGTTCCCTTCCATCTAAACCCTGACCAGTGCTTACTCCAAAAATAAAATATAATAGACCTAACAGGGGCAATCCTCCTGTATCAGGAGTCCAGCTTAATGAGTCCTCCATGCCCATATACTTGTATGTTAAAGAAGATCCTAGAACTCATCAACCATCTCCTGTTCTTAATCATAGACTTGCTTGTGGAGTACAGGCTTCCAAACCATCCTCCATGCTGAAGGGGTCATTTGATCAATGCCTCCTTCATAAGCTGTGTCCTGCTTTGTATGCTTTGCATCTGGCGGTGCCCCCCCTCCCCCCTTTCCCCCTTCTTTTTTGGCCGTACGTTTTGGCGAATCTATTTTTGGGGCGATATCTTTCATGATTCTGTTAGCTGGCACGAAGCAGTTTAAGATTGCGACTAATGAACACCAGAAGACTGTTAAACAACCATCTATTCCAAAAACTTAAGCTGTTGGAGAGATTGAAACTTAAGTATTTATATTTCAATATGCCCCCTAACGGGCATGCTAGATTTTGGGTCTAGTACGTAGAAACTCTTTTAATAATTAGGGTGGCGGCGAGATTCGAAGGACAACTTGACTCTTAAACAACCATCTACTCCAAAAGTTGAAGCTGTTGGAGATAGTGTAAATTAAATATTTATATTTTAACAGAGACCATAAGGGATTCTTTTGTGTGTAGAACATAAGATTAGGTCAAAGTCTGTTCCACTAATTCGTATCAAAAAGGGTCAAAATATGCCCCTTGACATATAGAGCACGATCAATTTCTTATTAGATGTGGTGTTTTAAATCATGGGCGAATGTCTCGAGGTGGAACTGATGGTTTTTACATTTGAAATTAGTTATGGAAGGTTGAATCATACTATCATGTGGGTGGCACTTATTTAAGGGCACTGTTATACTAGAAGGTTTTAAGTGATAATAGACGTAAGACTGCTAATTTTTTGTAAAATAAAAGTGCTCCTTGTTCTGCAAACCTCATTAGGAGGCAGATTATTTCTAATATTTGATTACAAGCATTATGCTTTCTGTCATTATTTTTAAATGCATTAATCATAATTGCCTTTTTAGTTCACCTTGCCCCTCTCCCGACAGACATCTTTTACACTTCATCTGTGTTAAAATTGTGGTCTCTGCTTGGATTTTTGCAGGGGTGCCTTTATGAGATTTACTTGATTGGAAGTTGGTTCTCTTTCAGTTTTATTCTTTTTTACATTTTACTTTGTTCTTCTCTTTTTGAGTACAGTTTGTATTCTATATTTTACCTTTTTTCTCTATTCTCTTTCTCAATATTAGTCTTCTTTTATCCGAAAAATAGGCTCCATCTTTTTCTGGAAAAAAGTTGCAGAAATCCCTGTTATAGCATCTGTTAGTGTTTTTACTTGTAACCTTGTCTCTTCACAAAAATTGAAGTGTTTGAAGATTTGAAAACTGCTCAAAAAATTATTGTCAAATCACAAAAAAGATAAACAATTAAAAGTACGACAGTGTAATCAGTGTTGGTGCTTGCCCAGGATTTGTAGCCTACTGTTATCAACAGGTTGATGGTTGCCTATAATCAGGCTAAGTTGCTTTTCTCCCTTTTTTGGATGTGTATTGATATGTTAGGAGTCCCGGACTCCTAATGGGATAAGAAGTTCTAGAAAAATAGCAGCGGTGAATAGATTGTGCCTAGTAAAATAATAAAAAACCTATATGGCCATCATATGTTGGTTTGGAAATTGTATAGTACCAGATAATTTGGCAAAGTTGTTTTACTGGAAGAGTTAAGTATACTGAAGGTGTAGTCGAAATGTGAAATACAATTGAAGCTTTTTGAAGCTTACTACTTTCCACTTCTTTTTCAACCTGACAAGTTACGATTAGTATTTCTGTTTTGTCTCAGATGACCAGAAGAACGCGAGAACTTCAAATTTGTAGCACTATAGTGGCAACGTGCCACATTGGAGTGTTTTGAAGATCCCGTGATTGATGTGTCAACACAATCCAATCAGATGATTTATGGAATGATTGATTCTTCATTGTTTACATTTGACTCACAAGTTGATTTCATAAATTTGTCCATGAATTTCCTTGTCTTATGTTTTCTTCCCCTACAAAAATATGTGTGACTCAAGTTGATTTCATAAATTTGTCCAGCAATCATGATTAAGTGATTGATTTTTTCCTTGTCTTCTGTTTTCTTCACCCCCTACAAAAATATGTTTGACTCAAGAGACTTAAGTTAAAATAGCGTGATGTACTCCTTTTAGCTTTTGTGTCTCATGGATATAGGCCTTAGGATTGGACCATTTTTTGTACCTGCGTCCTTTTTTTTTTTTCTCACTTCAATCTCTTTATTTAAAATTTCACACATTTGTACACTATGTGGGCTATGTGGAATAGAGGCAAGCATTTGTGAAGATGGGTCTTCTGCTTGTGTACTGTAAATAATGGAAAGAGTTAAGAGTGATTGTTGATATTAGCTTCCCCGTGGGAGATCTTCAGCTTCCAATTAGCTAAAGTGGTATTAATGTTGTAAATCTGTGGGACGGTTATCATCAGTCTTGGGTTACCATTAAATTTTGGTTACAGATTATAAATGTTAAGCTTTATTCTGCGTTAATGGTAGTGGGATTGAAACTTGGCTGGAGTCATTTCCAAACTGTAATTTGAATCTATCCTGCTCAGTTTGGACTTTCTGCAAAAAATGTTTCCAGGGTTTATTTCCATTAATTTTTTTTTCAGCTCCAACAAGTCATGGATTCATTCATAATCTATGCTTCCCAACAAAATGCAACTAACTTAGTTACTCAAGAGATCGAGTCGACTGGGAACCCATTTGGTCCACATTCCACCCTGAAGATACCCTGGACCCAATTCAGTCCTTCAGACGTAAGGCTAGCGCCCTTTCCAACTCGTGAATATACGGACGACGAGTTCCAGTCCATCATCAAGAAAGTCATGGGAGTGCTGTATGTATCTTTAACTTTTGTATTCTTTCTTCGAAGCCTTGGTCAAGTTTCTGTTATATTTGTTCAGAAGTAATTTTTCTAGGTTTTGACACAATTTTTTTATTTATAAACTGTTTTGGATGATACTGGTTTGTGGTAAACAGGTATTTACTGGGATTTCTCTATCCAATCTCTCGTCTGATCAGCTATTCAGTGCTTGAGAAGGTTTGGCAATGAGTATGATTGTTTGTTTGTTATTTATGCTATATAGTCGTGAACTTGCCTTCTCCTTTTAGATGACTTTTTCCTTGTTTCCAAGTTTGTGGGATAGAATTGTCAATGGCTTTGAAGGTTTCTTTGCTGAGCACAACTTTGAATACTGATTCCTCAGGAGCAGAAGATAAAAGAAGGTCTTTATATGATGGGTCTGAAAGATGAGATGTTCCATCTTTCTTGGTTTATTACTTATGCTTTGCAGGTATATGTTACAGTTTTGTCTTTCCTAATGGATTTATTGGTTATTGCTATGCACACGCCTTTTGTAGTGTTTAGTATTTCTAGATTCTAGTGATTTTGACATTTGGTTTGGTTCATGGAGGTATTGGATATATAGCCAAGGATCAAATTTTCGTTTCGATGGATTGTATCGGTCACCTAGGAAACGGAAACGTTTCAACGTGTTTCAAAAACGTTTCGACTCGTTTCGAAAATAAAAGGAAAAAAATAAAAAATTTAAGAATTAATTTTCCAAAATATTGGTTGAAATATACCAAAGTACATTGAAATACCTTGAAACATTTCAAAATAATTGTGCAAATGCAATAAAATATTGCAAAATATCTCGTAACATTATAGAATACCTCGAAGTATTAGAATTTCAATTCTATCATTGATTTGTTTCAGTCTCCTTGGAAATGGAAACGTTTCGGATGTTTCAACCGTTTCAAAACGAAGTTTTAATCCTTAGATATAGTACTTTCTACATGATTCTGTCATGGGTTTTTCCTGGCGTATGGGGCAGTTCCTTCAATTATGTGACCTCTTTGTGTATCTTACTTTATATTGAGAAATTTCCTGGCAGTGTTTATCTTCATGTCAATTTTTTTTTTTTGCAGTTTGCGGTTTCTTCTGCGATAATCACTGTCAGCACACTGGGTACTCTTTTTGAGTACAGCGACAAGTCTGTAGTGTTCATGTACTTCTTTTCGTTTGGACTCAGTGCAATCATGCTGTCCTTTCTGATCTCTACGTTCTTCACACGGGCAAAAACAGCCGTGGCTGTTGGGACCCTTTCTTTTCTTGGGGCCTTTTTTCCCTATTATACTGTTAATGATGAGGCTGTTTCCATGTTAGTATTCATGTGCTATTACTGATTTCGGCCAATATTTCCTTTCAAAAACTTTAGTTTTCTGGAATGGATATAAATTTATTTTTATTAAAATGCTTGTAGGATTGTAAAGGTCATTGCTTCTTTGCTTTCACCCACGGCTTTTGCTTTAGGGTCAATTAACTTTGCTGATTACGAACGTGCCCATGTTGGACTCCGTTGGAGCAACATATGGAGGGTACGCTCTTTATTGTTGTATGCCTTTATAGTCATTAAATTGAAGGCATTCTCTGTTTCTAAAATTTTCAATACAATGATCCTACAGGCATCATCTGGAGTTTGTTTTTTGGCCTGTCTGTTGATGATGTTGCTTGACGCTTTGTTGTACTGTGTAATTGGACTTTATCTAGATAAGGTGTACATCTTCTAAACTTCTTTCTTTGCTTTATTGTGCTCATTGTTACATTTTCTCTTTTTTGTTTTTAAATTAAGAGCTTGCATATTTGTCTAAACTTAACAATGCATAAAAAGTGAAGTTACTCTGTATTTTATCTATTGAGGATTATGGTCTCACAGCATCCCACTCATTTCTTTGGTGTGATTGCTGTTTTGGAAACCAGATAGCGGCTTCCTGCCCGAGCGTAGCATTAACACCTTTATCTTTTAGGGGAGATTATTTGACAGTTTGCACATTATCAAGTCACCAATTTTAGAAGCTTGTTTATTACCAGGTCCTTCATAAGGAGAATGGAGTGCGTTATCCATGGGACTTTTTATTTTGCAAGTGCTTTTGGAGGAAGAACAATAGAACCGAACATCAAGCTTGCAGTTCAGAAGTTAATATTATTGGTGAGCATTCCAAGGAAAAGGCCAATTTTTCTGAGAAGGATATTCATGAACCAGCTCTGGAAGCAACGAGCTTAGATATGAAACAAAATGAGCTTGATGGCAGGTTGATATACCAAATAAGATTCCTTGATCACAGTATATGTGTATGCATTTATCTAAAGATTCACTGAACGTTCTCACATTTATTATCTGACTTGCAGATGCATCCAAATTGGGAATCTGCACAAGGTGTATACTGCTAAGAAAGGAAAGATTTGTGCTGTTAATAATTTACAGCTCACATTATATGAAAATCAGATTCTTGCACTTCTAGGTAATGTCAGATTCTTACTCTTGTAGTTGGCCTTGTTTGATTAAAATCCCTTGTTCTATCCCATTGCCTCTTTGTTTGTTGTTGATTTCGAATATTTAAGTGCCCTAATAGGTTGATTTGTCCTTGAACATGTGCGGTTTCAATAGGATATATCAAGTCAGTTAAAAAAAAAAAGTGGTCTAATAACTGAACTCAATAGCCTAAATAAAAATGGTAAAGGGAAGTGAGGCATGTCTTTCTTTGTGGAAGTCTATCTCAATACAATCTTGTGGTTATTTCAAGTGTATTAAATGGTTGGCCCAAGAAAATGCAACCAAAGAAACAGGTGGGAGAGCAAGTGGACGGGCTGGAGGAAAAAGAACCAACTTTGTGCATGTTTAGAAACAGTGATGATGTCTGTTGATGAAATAACTGTTGGCCTCTCCCTGAGATTCGGGGAGAGGGCTTAACTAGCCTGACCCATGTGCGCTGCTATGGTTGAAAAGATAGATGTTGCGACTTACAACCAGCTGGTTTTGGCGTAGTGGTCAGCTCATCGATCCAACAATTGGTATCAGAGCAGATCAAGGGTTCGAGTCCTAGGGTAGTTGCTGGTTTTGGCGTAGTGGTCAGCGCATCGATCCAACAATAACAAGTTGTTAGTTATCCTGTTGCCCAAGCTGATTAGTTGCCTAATTTCATTTATTCCATGTCCATTTGCAAATATCCCTGTTCGTGTGGGGATTTCTGTCCCCTTATATCAGCAGAAGAATGGCTATTATAACAATGATGTATTGTTTGAATATGTCAATAACCAACTATTGTACAAGCTTAAGCCATTAGAGAGTGGGTAACTTTAGTATTTAAATGCTTAATACCTGCCTTTGCATGTCATGGATCACCTCTCAAAAACAGGGCCATATATGTGCATGTATTGTTATTCTTATCACGGCCTCCTGGTTTAACACCTGTTGATAATCCAATTACTCTATGTATCTGAAATAATTTGGTACATTCACAAGATAGAGACCTGTCCTTATGAATCCATTCTCTCACAAATGCTTTTACTCCTGTAAAGTGTGCTGTGGTTCTTTCTCTTTTATAACTTCTCTTGACTTAAACCAAGTCTATGAACCATAGACATTGCTTAGAAGGTGTGACGCCTGTGTTGACACCTTGTCAATTATGGAAATTTTGTGATACTCCTTGAAGTTTGTTCAGGCATGTGTAAAATTTTTAAGAAGGAATCTTATATTGCATGCATATCCAAAAATTATGTAATTGACACTTTTGATACAAAAAATGAATGTTGCAACAAATAAGAGATGATTGTTGCATCTTTCCAATTTTGAGATTGTTGATATAAAAATATAGCTAATAAATCTAAATGATATTGTTCCCATTCAATACACTAACTATACCGATACATATTGTTGTGTTATATCTGTAACCATGTACTACTATTTTTTATTTGACCTGTGTTGATTTATGCTGCATCCATGTTGATGGTAGATAGAACCAGGAGCATTTAAATTATAATCAAACCTTCTGTAGAATTCTCTTTTTCCATCCTCAGAATTTAGCCTAGATGACCTTTTGTCAAATTTCTCATCAACCAGCTAACTTTTGAATGTGAACTGGAAATTATCTTTTGGCTCATAGTGATTGTGAAAGACGAAGTTTTTTTAGTATCTTATCTGGTGAGTTCAAATCTAAAGATAAGACAGTTAAAATTGATATTTTATCCTGTTATACATGGGACTGTAGAAAGAATACTTCTTACTTTGCTTAGGTCCCTTCTGATGTCAGCTACTTCCCCTCCTCCTTTTAGAACTTTGGATTCACTCATAATAGCAATTTACTTATCTTTCACTATTAAATTGCGCTTCTAGTTCTATGAATTGGCTTAAAATGAAAGTTCAGAATTACATTTTTTCCACATATATGGTCCGCCAAGGAAACTCATTTCTATTCTATGCAATAGTTTGACAAAAATTTCATCTGTTGTAAGCTCATGGGAAAATTACCTTCTGTTATCCTTAAATTAGCTGCTTAAAATTCTCAATCTTCATTGAAACTGATCTGTTTCCTTCGCTGCATGTATATGTTTGAAATAATCGAAAATGAGATAAACAGATCTCGATAGTGATGTTAACCTCTATCATTTAAGCAGACAGAGGGTGTCTATTAGCTGCTATGTCACGTGTGCCACACTCTCTGGCACGAGTGGAATATGCCAAACTCATGTATCTATCATTATGACAGGGGCTACAAGACATGTCTTATTTGGTTAATAGCCAGCTGTTCTGAGAAGCTTAAACTTATAGATTGTGGGCAATTGTGTATTTATGACATGCATTAGGATCTAGAACAGGGTTTTTAGAGGTGGATGCTATTTCTTTCTCCCCTTTTGTTATGTTTGGATAGTTATTTTTTGTTTATTCTTTTATCTTTATTTCATTTATAGTCATATTTTGTTTTGTTGGATTTGATTTTACTCCTTAATTTTGAAGGACACAATGGAGCTGGTAAAAGCACGACAATATCGATGCTTGTTGGCCTTCTGCCTCCTACTTCAGGGGATGCATTGGTTTTTGGAAAGAGTATCTTAACTGACATGGTAGTAGTATTTTTCAGAAGTCCATTTTTAGTGGAGTGGTGCATTGTTCCATATATATCACGGTTTTTTTTCATGCTTATTTCTTTTGGTTGCTTTCTTTGGGTGTCCAAGTACTGAGTAAAGTGTTGTTAAAAGACGCTGATAGCTTTGTTAGTTACACTCTAGGGTATTTTTCCAAATTTTTTATTTCAAGTCTTCCTAGTATCGCAAGTACTTATTGATCTACTAACAACTGATTTCGTCCTGGTAAAGAAAAATAAGATTTTTTTTTTCTTTCTGAAATCGAAATGATCTTGAAGTTCTTGTTTTTGTAGTAATTCAGATATCTGTTGGCCATTTACACTTTTAATCGCTAATCAAACTAATGACATATAACTCCTTGTGCTTGATTATCCTCCAAGTAGGGACATGCTTTCAATGAAGTTAGCCTCATGTGAGGAAGTTGTCAAGAATTTTCCTTCAGGTTTTGCATCTCTCTTGGAAAGACTAGAACAACCTAAGGCTGGTTGGTAAGGATCGTGTTGGAGTTGGATAATTAGTATGGATATTGTTTTGAGATTTATTTTATTATTTGAATATTAGTTAGTATTTATCTTTCTAGTGGTAGAGTTATGCTAGGAGTCTTTATTTTGGATTTTGGTTTCCCTATATAAAGGGATGCAGGGTTTTATTCAGACTTGACTTGTTGAATAATATTGATATTATTTCTCCTTAAGCATTTGATTTCTCATCCCCTTCTTGCCCATTTATTCCCTTTCTTTTTCTATTCTCATTTCCGTTCTTCTTGATCTTCATCAAGTATCAAACCTATTACTATCTACATCACTGGGTTATAGGCTTCAGGGGTCTCTTCACTCATTGTGAATTGGCTTAGGGTTTGTGGTTTCTACATAGGGGTGTCCATGGCCTGGATTACCCACGGGTTCTGTTATTCGGCTCGAAAAAATAAGCCTGAAACTCGATAGGCCTGATAATTGACCCACCCAAGCCCGAACCCAATATCCTTAAAAAGAGAGTTTGGATTTGCCTCCAAACTCATTACTTGGCCCATTAGCCCGCCAGCAAAGCCCAACCCGCTCAGCCATCCTTTGAAAAAAAGTTATATTTTTAGACTATTAATTTTGAAATTTTGAAATAAGTTTCTCAATATTAGAATTTGAAGTTTTAAAAATTTAAATACTATAAATAATGTATTATTTTTTTTTCCATGTATTAAGCATACAAGTTTTAAAGGATAGAATAATGCAAATGATAGATAAATGAGTAGGGGTCAACTTAGTTGTGATGTATTTATTCTATTGGATGTAGTTCATCCCCTAATCAAAAATAAAATTATTCATTATTTTATTTTTATCCATTTTGACTCTTTTTTTATTCAAAAATATAATTTACACAAATATTAAGTTATAAAAATATTCATTAGTTTTAAATGAAGTTGTATATAAAAAAAGCTCGCGAGCAGGCCCGTTCAGCAAGCCCGCCCAATATGCTCGTGAGTTGGCCTGTGGGTAGTTTACCCCTACCCGAAGCCTGGCCTGACCGAGAACTCATTTGGGTAAAGGGCTTTGGCCTACACTATCCAAGCCCGGCCCAAAAAAAATTTTGCGGTCCTTTCCCTACCCGGCCCATCCCATGGACATTGCTATCTCTACATGGTATCAGAGCTGAACCTTAGATGGTGCATGGGAAAAGTCCATTACCACTTTGAATTCTCTGGCTTTTTTTTTCCTGTTTTGTGTTAGCTTGCTAGCCATTATGTGAACCTATTTAAAGGAGGTGAGTCAAAGCAAACCAAACCAAGCCTTATGTCCTAATCATTTAGGGTCTGCTATATGAGTCCATCTTCGCCATTCATTTCAGTCACGCGCTATTTGCTCATTTAGGTAAATACTTTCATATATTTTCAAATTATTTCATTCAATGTTAATTTAAGTCTACCCCTACTCCTAGTACCATTAAGAGAAAAAAGCCCATGACCATACCAAAATTATTGCCATCCAACCTTTCTGGACTAATTTAAAGATTGGGGTTATTTGCAAGAGCACCTAAACGGCTAAACCCATGTCTTTCCGTAATTCCAAGTTCCAATGGTATTGGTAGGGATCACACCTTCTTCGGACATGTCCGCACAATAGAATCAAACAACCATAGTGGCTAACCCAAAATCGCAAATTAGCCAAATACCTCCATTAGTCGCCCAAAATAAGCAAAATAGTAGCAATCAAAGCAAATCACAGCCAAAGAAATAGGTCACGGTGAGAAAATACCTTCAACAGTAGCCAAATACCTTCTAGACAACTGCAGAAGCAAAACACATGTCGTAACAGTGCCAACAGTGAAGAATAATAAAGCCGATCCTTAATTTTGGCCAAAAACTTAACAAATCCTATCTAAATGCAACAAAACTGTATGGGCATTCCAGATTATCCCTAGTCACAACTCACCAGGAAGGTTCGACCCAACAACAACCAACATATTGTGCAAAAAACACAAATCTCAAGTTCGGCACAGTAAACCCAAAAAATCTTCAAAAATTTGAATGACCGGTCAAATGGCTTCAAGTTATTCCAAAAGATAACCATAGTTCTAAGAAGGTCCAGTTGAATTTGCTCATGGTGTTTTCGAAATTTTCTGACATGTTTGATGATATATTGACTACGTGAGAGGGTTTTTGATGAATTCGGACTGTTGATCATGTTTGACGCTCTGACACCAACTTGGATCGCGAAGTCATTATGATTTTTAGAGATGAAGAGGATAAGAATGAGAGGAGAAGAGAAAATTACTAGAAGAGAGTAGTGTGTTAGGTTACATAACTCAACCCCAACTTATATATATGGACCCAAGGTCCTAAAATACCTTAAGCTAGGAATAAAGCATAAAATATAATTTTTCTTCTTCTTTCTTCATTGTGTTTTTGTACAACCTTCACTTTTTGTTCAGCAGTAGCTGATGCGATAAATCTTCTTTATCCACAGAAGTCATTTGACAGTCAGGCATTTCCCATGAACTGTCTAGATTCTTTACAGATGTAACACTGTATCTCAATTTGGCCTTGGATTTAGGGTTAGAGCTGCTTTTTGAGCCTGCTGTCAAGAAGAATGAATTGATCTATTGCCTAATAAGTGTTGCCATTCTGCAATTTCACTTGCAAGTTCTCTACGACCTTTTTTGACAAAGTGAGAAACTAACTGGTCTTTTTGATACCTCTTCTGGATAGGAGTTTCCTTCGCTCAGTTTGGGTTCACCTTCGGTTAGATGCTTTACTTGTTGGGCCTCATGTCAGATTGGGGGAGTTGAGATGTTCAACATGGATTTTTGCATTGCTTCAAGTACACTTTTGATATTAGCTACTATCTATAGCAGAGGACATACACTAATTTTAGTGTATGACCTTACTTGTTTGAATCACTTGATAGCCAATCTCCTATTTGTTTATTTTACGGACGCATGCCCTGTATTTTGTAGAGTCAGATATCATTTCATTTTTGTGATTATTTTGTTGATTTCTGCAGGATGAAATTCGGAAGAATTTGGGTGTGTGCCCTCAGTATGATATTCTTTTCCCGGAGTTAACTGTAAGTAAAATACATTTCTGTTTCTATCCCTGTAAGTAAAGCACATTTCTGTTTCTATCCCTTATCCAGTATAATATTTGGTGACTCATTTGAGTCTCTCCTCCCTCTACCCCCCTCTCAAAGAGTCCTTCCAAAGTATTTTTTGGGTTTTTTTTTTTTAACTTTACAGCAAGAGGAAACTTTTTTAAAATTATATATGTCTACGTTTTGGGTTTATAACTGATCTACTGCTCATCAAGCTCATGAGATCCAGCCTGTCGGGTCTTCTCTCTCTCCACCTTCACATTCGCTGTTATGATGTTGAAGGTTTTTTTATGCATGTGACATCATCTACCCCTTCTGTATATCATTTTCTTGTATCTGGTTATGCATCCATTATATTGTCTTCTGTAATGGGTCTGAATTTTATTGCTAATATTTACTTTACTCATATGATAATGTTTGATGTTCATAATCCCTAATTTTGAATACTGCAAAATAAAACTAATCAGTTGCAGTTATAATGAGACCTTGATATCAGAAAAGAAATCATTGGATCGCCGTTCACGTTGAGCAATTTTTATTGTCATCAAGAAAACAAGTGCTTTAGCTTCCTCACATGAGTTCACTGGCTTAGGTGTATCACTCTCTAAATTTGTATAGCTGAACCTATGGGTTTTAGTTGCTTTTGGGCTTCAAAGTCATTGCTATTACCCCATTTTTCCATCTTCAGACCAGAAAACTAAAGACTTACTGCACCCTTCTTTTTCTTTATCAGTCAAAAAAAGAGGAAAAAAGAAAAAGATAAGGTATGGCATGTTAAAAAAAAAAAGAGGAGGTCGAAGAGGAAAAGAATGTGCCTTGCAATCATGTGTGTTTAATAATTTTTTTTTTCCGGTACATTGGAAAGGTATGTGCGTTTAATAATGGGAAAAGGCTTGGTTTACTTCTTGTTTGTGATGCTTGAATAGCTTAGACATGTAGCCCATCCACACATACCCTTAACAAAATGATGGCTTTTCATTTCAATAAGGTGAACTCATACTACTAAAACAATTGATATGTATTGGGATGAGGTGAATGGGTGGGACAGAAAGCCACTGGGTGGGAGCTATGCATAATGCTTCTATCTACTTCTGTTGCGATTTAGATAGGTAAAGTTTTCATTTTTCAATTTCATTATAAAATTTAGGTGCTTCTAATGCAGTCCAGAATCATGGAATGAATGAAATCAATCGCAAATCAGAGTGCTAGATCATGTTACAGTTCTAGCTACACACCCACATCATTTTCCCAAGTGAGAGAAAATGTACCCGAACGATTGGTGATAATCGAGAGCCATTTCTCAGCCCCGCACAAAGAAAATAATATTGAGTGACTAAAATCAATCCATATGTCTTTACATAGCTCGCTGGAAGATTACGTGACTTCAAAAATTGGAGGTCAATTGAGAGAAGTACCTAAATTTGAACTTAACATACTGAGCAGCCTTATCAATATTGCACAACTATTCGTTATTAATAAGCAGCCAAAATATATTGGCTGGCTATGAACTGATTCAATCATCTGACATCTCCGCTTGATATGCTGTGGAAGTTCTTGTGCTTGCCAAGGGATCTTTCATACGTGCTCTGCGCCAGATTTTATGCTTGGTGGATTTCTAAATTGGTCACAAACATCGCAGATTGTTTATTTTTTTGGTGAAATTGCATCATGTTGTTTGGTTTTTGTGACTCTGCTTGTTTAAGAATGAGTATGGAGTTCTTATTGTTGCTATGGTTCATTTTTTTCAGAAGTGGTTGCTATGGTTCTTTATGGGTGTGGAGACTCCAGTTTTATTTTTATGTCTTATTTACCTTTTGAATGTTTTGGAGGACCAACACACCTGTTACTTGGTTTGTTTTGTGCAGTGTTAATTTTTTATCAATTTATTTGAAGTATTAATATTGTAGTTTTGTATTATGAAACATTCAAAGGGCGAGCAATCTTTGATTCCTGGATTACAGAATATACTTCAAGTCATGATGTTCCTAAAAGTAGGTGTACCGTGTACACTATATACTTGCCCATCAATGGTTGGTAGAGTAAATAGCACATCGAATGATTTGGACCACCCAAGATTGGTTTATCTGTTTATGGATAACAAATTGATTTTTGGTTGGATGCACTGATATGGTATTAGAGTTGGGCTTTGGGTGATTAGTTGACAAGTTTCTTAATTATTTGAATTTCCCGGATGCATGTTTGCCAGTTTGTGTATTAGCACCATGCGTGAGGGAGGGTTGTATAAAAGCTTGTATCCCACATTGAATGGTTAGATCAAGGATAGGCTATATGCCTATGGGGTCTTCTACTTATTGCCAATTGGTTTTGGGTTGCGTGCTTCAACATGGTTTTGGAGCTAGACATTGACTAGTTAGTGGACTAAGTTTTTTATTCATGTGAATTTCTCGGTATGCATGTTTGTCTATTTGTTTGTTAGCCCTATGTGTGAAACCGGGTCCCACCCAAAGGAAGGGCATAAAGATAGTTTGCATCCCACATCGAATGATTATAACCGGTTGGTTTATGTGCTCAAGGGGCTTATCCACTCATAGCTAATTGATTTTGGATTGGATGCTCTTAACATATATATGATGACAATTGGGATGGGAGGTCTCTGAGGTGAAGCCACTTTTATTTTTAAACAAGTAAAGCCGAGACATGGGCTTGTTGACCAACTACTTAATTTTGTGAAAAGGGGAGACAGGGAGGCAGAGGGAGGAAGGCAGAGGACCTGCATGAGGTGAGTTGAACACGAGCCGAGTTGCAGAAGCGAGCTCAAAGAATTTGAAACTGAGTGCCGTCTTCACATGCCTTGGAATGCTAGAAGCATCTTGCTTGCCTAATCTATGAACACTAGAAGTACCCTTGTTGACAGTCTTACTTGTTGAATTTCTTGTAGATCATGATAATTGGGATGCTGGTATTGTTGAGTCTATTATGATTACATTTCATACACGTGGACATGATTGTGAATGGATGTAAATGATAAAATTGTTCGGAGATTTTTGGTGCATGTTGGAGAACGAGATTCTCATTCTATGTGTTTTTTTTATACATACATCGTTTTTTTTTCTTATGCTTATTCCATTTTTTCCCTTGTTTACCAGTTGAAATTTATTTTTGTAGATTTTACTGCTTCTAATTCTTTTGGTGCAACTGCAAACTGTATGTAGTGGTTGATGATGTCTCCTATGGTATCGTCATTTGACTTGGTTAGTTACTCCATTCAGGTAAAGGAGCACATGGTGATATTTGCTAATTTGAAGGGTGTGGATGAAGACTCTCTGGAGAGCAATGTGACTGAAATGGTTGATGAAGTAAGTTTTCATGTCTTTGTCTGTAAGAATCTCACAGGCATATGCTATCATGCTTTCTGGATTTTGACTTGCGTGTCTGAAACAATGGTTGGTGGCAGTTGCAGTTGATATGGTAATGTTATTCTTGTTATGTATGCCTGAACATAAGTTTTCCTTCAATTAGATGCAATAATCTGAAGTAGATCGTGTATCATCTACTGAATCTGCCCGGTTTGCATGATTAAATGCTTCAAGTGGCCATTATTAGGGAACAAAATCCTTTTTCCTAGAGTTGATTTAAGATACCTCGAAATGTGATAAATAACTTAAAGATGAGAAGTTTGATGATCTTGCATGATTTGAATAACAACACCTACTCTATAAGCAAATATTTCTACTACCTCACAAGTCACAACCACAACCACTTAGTCGTTGGTTGACTTCAATAGGAGAATCTATAGGTCTACATCTCAACATCCGTGTCTCTTCAAGTAGATCAAGAATATACTTTCTATGGGAGCTGAAAATACCTCTATCGGATCTAGCAACTTTTATCTCAAGGAAGTACCTTAATGGATTCAAGTCTTTGATTTCAAACTCTTTAGCCAATTGAGCCTTCAATTTGGTGACTTCTTACTTATTTTATCACTGTGTCATCGACATACGTAATGAGGACCATAATCTTGTCATCAACTTATCTGACAGGCATAGTATGATGAGCATGACTCTGTTTATATCTAAATTTCAACATGATTTTAAGAAACTTATCAAACCAAGTTCTAGGAGATTGTTTCAACCTATAAAGAGACTTCTTCAATTTGCACACCATCCCTTTTGTTATCTAAGATGCTCCAGGCTAAGGTTCTTGACAAAACATCTCTTCCTTTATGGTGACGTTCTCCCTTGAAGAGATGTCTGGATAGTAAAGAAGAATGACTCAATTTCACGAAAAGTAACATCGAGGCTAACATAACTGTGCAAGCATCTTTTGTCTGTTGCATACTGGGGCCACCTTCCGACTCTGGTTCACATCTGGGGGTTCCTAGTATGGCAGAACTCGAAATCCTCTGTTGCCATGTTTGAAGATAATAGCATTTATATCCCTTTTGGGTGACAATAACCAACAAAGACACATCGTAGACCCCTATGGTCAAGTTTCTACCTAGAGGATCTATAGTCATATATCAAACAAACACACCCAAAGACTTTAGGTGGAAGAGAAGAAAGAGAAAGAATTGAAAAAGGCTCAAAAAGACAGTCAATAGGTGACTTGAACTGAAGAACACTGGAAGGTGGATGATTAATAAGATAAGCAACATTGAGAACTGCATCCCCTAAAAGATTGAGGAAAGTTTATAATAAATATTTGTGAAAGACCAATCTCAAGAAGATGCTGATTTTTTCACTTAGCAACACCATTTTGTTTAGGGGTTCTAACACAAGTGGTTTGATAAGGAATGCTATTCTCATCGAGGTAAGAACGAAATTTCTCATCAATATACTCGGTTCTGTTATTACTTCAAAGAATTTTGACTTTAACATCAAATTGGGTATTCACCATTTTATGAAAAGATCTAAAGCACGAGAATACTTAATCTTTACTGGATAGTAGGTAAACCCAAGTGAGATGAAAATAACAATCAATAAAGTTAACAAACCAACAATAACCATAAATTAACATTACACGAGAAGGGCCTCACACATCACAATGAATAAGGACAAAAGGAGCAGTGTTTCTATTATTAGTACGAGGATAAGATGAATGTTTCTGCATGACAAATTCATAAGAATCACAAACAAAAAAATTGTGTACTACATTGTTTCACTGTACTAGGAATATGATGCTCCAAGACATCGAATGAGGGATGCCCAACCGTCTATGCCACTGGTTGAGGAGTTGAAGGGTTGAAACACCATCTGTTTGAAGAGTTTGACATGTAGACTTTTGAGAAACTTCAACATCAAGGAGATACATATCACCATGTGCTCCACCACTCCTAATTGTCAATTCCTGAAAGTTACAATGAGTAGGGAAAAGAGTCATTGAACGATTCAAGAATTTTGTAATACTACTACCAGATAATAAATTAGTATAGAAATTGTCAACGTGAAGAACAAAGGAGAGGGATAAAGAGGGTGAGCAATTAATTGAAACATGTAGAATATGAAGAGGAAAAAATAGAATATTGTATCATGTGATCCGTGGCTTTGGAATCTATTATCCAAGGTGTGTATGAGGATGACACAATAAACACTAGTAGATGCACTCGGATGAACAAAGTTGGAAGAAGAGACATGATTAGGAGTTGAAGTAGAGGGGATATCAAGTTGAGCCATCAGACGCCTAAGAGTCTGCATCTCATATTGAGAGAAAGTAGACTAAGATGGAGTCTTTGAACTTTTAGTCATGTGTGCATGAGATCGCACATTATCCCCTTGGCCGCGAGTATGATTTCCGGTCAACTTTCAACAAAAATCCATAGTATGCTTGGTCTTACCACTATAGTCACATTTTAAGGTATCCTTTGCAACAATGCCACTCATTTCAGTAGAGTTGGGCAAGGCTAAACTCATTTCACGCCGTGGGATAACCAACGTAGACTGTTCATGAGTAGGAGTATAGACCTTATTAATCTGGTCTTACTGTTGAGTATGATAATTTGGAGAGAGAGGTTGTTTGCTAGAGCATCTGAATGGCTCAACTTGCTTCTTCCAATATTTACCCCAACATTAGTGGATGTTGTGCAACCTTTTGACATGTTTACGCAATAGGACCAACACAAAATAACAAACAATCACTAGAAATCACTACCCGAAAAATAGTCCACAACCAGAAAACAACTTCAATAGCAACCAAACAATATCTTGTGTAACAATCCGAAGCAAAATAGGAGTCGAACAATCTCTGTACGGTGTCTAGAATTTAAACCGACAGCTGATTAGATGCCGCACATTGTTAGGGCCAAAATGTAGGCCTGGGTAGAGGTGCATCAAGTCTCCCAGATAAATCCACTTCAAATGCAACAAAAAGCTCCGGGCAATCCAAATTAGCCCTAATTGACCCTAGTCGAACAGATCTAACCCAAAAGAGCACTTAGACTGCCCATAAATCGACAAATTTTGATTTAGGGCCATAATCTCAAAAAAATCGAAAAATTTAAAGACCAGTCAGTCAGATGGCTTAAAAAATTTCAAAAAAATAACCATAAAATCGTAGTTGGGGTCGATCCATCATTGTGAAAATCATGCTGACGTCAGCATGTCAACGTTTGACAGGTGGCACTGTTGGTTGCATGAGGTGATTTTCTATCTATTCCAACAAATTTGAGGCATTAGATTTAATCCAAGTTTTGATACCAAGTTAAATTATCAAGCCTTTAGGATTTAAAGAAGAGAGAGAATAAGAATATGAGAAGATGGAAGTGTATTAGGTTACATAACCACACCCAACTTATATATATATATATATTCACAAAATACTAAAATTCCCTTAAGTTAGAAATAACAGACAACATAAAAATGTCATTCATAGAAAACAATGGATTTTAAAATCATAGATTCAAGCAATGTCACCCGTATTGTAATATATTGTATCCTTGCTATACAAATGAAGAACAAAGATGGTTAGATGCATGCAGAACCATAACATAACATGTATATAACGTGCGGTCCTAAAGACCTCATAATCATACATGCATACATGGCGGCTACAATACAAGGATCACTTTGTAAAACATATTACTGAATTTCATGAAATCATCGCAATACAGTTCAAAGTATAAATGATGTAGCTTGTAGTAGTTCTGATATTTAATATAGATCAAGGAAAAGATATATGTGGATGAAAATAGAAGAAGAAAGGAGGTGAGATGGGAAGAAGGGGATGAGAAATCAAAAGAATGAGATGAGAAAAGAAGGGGATGAGAAACAGAAATTAGGGAGAAATTTTTTTGTATATTATTCAATAACTCAAGTCCACCTAAAAATTATAGAATCAACACTTTATATAGGGAACTCAAAAACCTTAAAATCAAATATTTTTAATCAAACTCTACTACTAAAAGATAAAAACAGAATAATATCTAAATAAATAAAAATCTCAAAATAAATCATCGTCATTTATCGTATTCCAACCCGATCCTCATTGATAAGTTTCTCAATTTCTAAAATAGAGATTCATCATATCGTAGAAGACATTTCTCTAACATGATCCTCACATAGCATAATTCAGTTGCAAACAATTTTAAGTTCATCAAATCTTTCATTCTTAAAAAATCTCAGAATTTCATAACCCACCTTTTGGTAAAATTGCTCTCATATTATTATCTACTTACCTACTGACCAGATACATTACCTAATTGGCATCAAACTCTAGAGCTCTTCCTAGTGGAAGTATATGTGGGTCAAGATGTACATGATATGCATGGGATGCATGAAAATTCATGAATTGTGATTTATTTCAATTTTTTCATTGTAATGGTACTTTGGTAATTTTATAAAATCAAACTTCTCTAATTGAACAAAACATAACTAAACTTCAACTGTGAAACTCTAATCCCTTTTTACTGATAATCGGTGTACATATTAATTTCTTGAAGAATATAGGGGTACACAATAAATAAAGGTCGATATCATATTAGTATATTGTACTTTTTATTCTAATGGGACTTATTATTCTTACGCAAGTGTTGAAATAATTAAAGATGGTCCCATCTGAAAAGTATTTAAATTTTATGGGGGTCTTGGTGTAATTTCTAGAAACTTTAGAGGTTGAATGGAACTTTCATGATTTCTAAAGCTTTAGGGGTTGATCTTTAATTTCTAAAACTTTTTTTGGGGTATAGTTGAAAGATATTAAATTTTTTTAGTGTAGTTTTATAATCTTCAAAACTTAAAGGTTTTGTGATTTTAAAAACTAGGTCAAGCTAATAATTGCACAATGTTAAACTTTATTGGAGGTATTTTCATAATTTTTAAGAAGTAAATGGGTTGTTTTGTAATTCTTAAAACAAAGCTAGCAGTATAATTTAAAATTTTGAAAATTGCTTGGGGGTGATTTAGTAGTATTTAAAAATTGAAGGGGCTAAAATTTAGTGTTTAAACCTTTGGTGGAAAATGTGGGGTTTGAAATATAACGTTTTAAAACTGCAAGGGGTTGAGATATAATTTTAATACTTTAGAGCTAAAATAAATCTTATGGAAAATACTAGGAAGCACAAATACTTCTCACTGGGTTGCCGTGGCGATATCGGATACGTGTCCGACACGGATACGGCCGAACACATGGCCGACACGGCTAGAAGTGTCCTGAATAGTGAATTTAGTCGGATACGACAAGGATATGTCTAGGACACGACAAGGATATGTTTAGGATATGACCAATAATTTTTTTATTAAAAAAACAAATTTTAACTATTCAAAATTTACTTTTTTTAATATATTTTTTGTTACGTAATTTATATACTATGAATATTAATAGATGCAATGATGTTTAATGAAAATAGTGAATATTTAATTTGATCTATTTCAACTTTAATCAAAAAAATAATATTTGTTAGGTCTTATTATTAATATTGTTATAATATATGCTTTATTTTTAATATATTACAACTCTATTATTATTTAAAAAATATATTATATTATTTTAATTGCCGTATCCTTATTGTATCCGTATCCCATATTTTTTAACTTTGTCATATCCCCGTGTCTGTATCGTATCGGATACGACATCCGTATCCGTATCCGTATCCGTACTTCCTAGGAAAAATATGTTTGTGGGCTCAAGTATCATTATCTATGTCCATAAGTTAACAATCTTATGTGGGTTATTCGAAAACTATAAACCTCTAAATTTTTTTTTTTTACATTCTCTGCTACCAAATCTCAGCCTAAGAAGTAAGTACACAGACACAAAACATTTTTAAAAAAAGTAGGACACAGACATTTATAAAAAAAGTAGGACATAGACACGTTAGGGATATGCTACAAAAAATTATATTTTATATATAATATTATATAATTTATCGCAAATATAGTAATAATGATATGCAATTCATAGAAAATGCATTATTTTATGATAAATAAATTTTATGTGTAGTTATTTGTGTGAATTTTTAGACTAAAGCATTATCATCATAGTAAATAATCATCATTTTTCTTTTGTAGACAATGTGTATGTAATTTATAATTTAAATAATTGCTCTCAATTTCTCAATTCATCTTTTTTTTCTTTTAAAATTTTAATACATCTTTTGTTTTTATTATTATATTTGGAGTATAATTTTAACATGTCTAGTATTAGGAATTATATGTTCTCAAAATTTTAAATTTTTTTAATCACATTTTAACACATGTTGATTATTTAGTAGTAGACACGTTCTAAAGAAGTGTTGGACACATCACCAAAGAATTATTGAATATGTGTTAGAAATTAAAAAAATTTCATTTAATTATGAATACGGATAAAGTGTCTATGTTTTATAGATCTCAACAAACCACATACCAAATTAAAGGTTCCATTATACCTAGAACAACACCCAAGTGTTATGTTTGTGAGAGTAAAACCCAAAATAAAAATGGATAATTTTGTACTTTTGGCTGTGGGTATGTGTGTATATATATACATATACATATATATATATATATATTGTGTGTGTGTGTGTATACTTTGTATGTAGTGTAGAAAGTAAACTCGCCTTGGTAGAAAATGGCTTTCCTTTTGAGCAATGCTATTGAGACCTAATTTGCTGACCTAATTCACTATGACCTTTGGATTGATTGTAGGCTCCATCAAACATTGGAACTTGGTGTTTATCCAATGGTTCCAATAAAGCCACGTCATTAGGTCAGAAAATTATGTCAGATTTTTAGGTCCAAATAACATTTTCCTTCTCTTTTATTCTCCCATTTTTTCCTTTTTCATTCTCCTCTCATTTCCTTCTCCATTTCATCGGTGTTCCCTATTACTTTTAAATGAGCAAACGTCCTCTTATTGAAGACTTTTATTTTGTCCCTAATGTGTTCCATGTGACACACAGCTACCAAATGGATAGTAGCCATTCCTTTTTTTCTTTTTAATTCTATTTGTTGTACCTTGCACACACAACATATGCATTTGGACACGTCCCCTATTTTATGCATGGTTACTTTTGTTAAATATTTCGGCATCTATCTAATATTATAGCTAGGAAATTGAATTTTCAATTTATAAAAACGCAACAACGGTTAAGATTAATTCATTTTTCATCTACATTAATTCAATAGTATAAAATTCATCTTAAATTTTTTATCTTGCTCCAAAACAAACATTAGCGTCTCTGCACATCCTTCAATGGTAAACAAACCAATCAAAACACTTTCCAATGCTAAATAATCTCATTAATCTCACACCTAACTCTCTTTTATTTTCTCTGTGTTCATTTTAATTCAAAATTGAGTAATTAAAGAAAAGAAAAGAAAAATAAATTGCTATTTAAAATATAAATATTACATGTCCATTGTTTGATTTTTAGCATTGCAGAGTGTCTTCAGACACGGGGTTATTGCTAGTATCTCTAAATTTCAAAACTTTAATATGATTCTAAATTTTCTAATTCTTATTTATTGGTTAGCCTCAATAATTATAATTGTTATTACTTTCACCCCAACAAAGAAATTAGCATTTTGTTTAATTGATATTTTACGTATGGAAATGACTAAATTACCATTTTCTTTAGGCCAAGGGTGTTACACTTATTCTAATATTTTGGGTCCGACAACGGATATAAATCTCGTTTTAAAATGGTCAAAATGGGTGAAACATTTCTGTTTTCTTGAAAACTAAAATAAATAAGTGATTGCAATCGAAATTTCTATGTTTTGTGGTGTTTTGACTTTTTTTTTTTGTAATGTTACAAGGTGGTTTGATATGTTTCAGAATAAATCGTTGAATGTTTCAGAAAATAAATTTTCAAATTTTTTTTTTTTGTTTTTTTTTTTTTTGTTTTCGAAATATTTTTGGAATGTTTTTTCCATTTCCTAAGTGACCGAAACAAAATACTGAAACAATTTTTGAAGTTGCTCATTATATGTGATCATAGGTTTTTCCTTGACAAAATTTACGAGAAGTTCACTCTTAACATAGGTATTACCAGAAGTCATTGCTAGTTGCTAGTGATATAGGCTCCTTATCATTTGATTTTTATATTTGCTTATATTTTCTGGATGCACTCTGAGCAAACTTGGGTTCTCTTATTCTGTGGCTTTCCATGAGTACACTGAGTCTCTGTATATTACCTAGTCTACATATCTTCTTTTCCTTGAATCTTTGCCCAAGTCCTATCTCAAGAAATGGTATGGCCGTAGACTTTCCCAGTATTTGACCACAAGAACTCCATGTAGTATTTCTTGATATTAGAAGCCACTCTTCCCATCATTCTAAATACATAGAAATTGGGCAGGAATGTTAGTTTTCAAGTTTGGACAAGAGTAATCCAAGGTCTAACCTTTGTCTACCCGTGGAATACTAAGTTAACATTTTAGCCCCTGGACCCCTAAACTAGGAGCTCTTGGGCTGCTTGCCAACTACTAATCCATAGTGCAGGGCCTTTTAGAAAATTGAGTTGCCAGAATGGGTTGGGTACTTATATTAATTAATGTAGGTTTTTAATGGGTTGGGTAATAGGACTCATTTTAATTAAGCGGGTTAAGATGGATTACAAATGGGTACTTATTGGATTGAGTATTTATCTTTGTATTAAGTAACAAGCAATAAAATTAAATACACAAACTAATATACCAAAAAATACACACACTAATAAACCAAAAAATACACACATACACTAATACACCAAAATACATACACACACTAATACACCCAAAAATTGCAAATACACACAATACACACACACACACACTAGTACACCCGACCCCGGACTTGACTCTAGACCCCTAACTCGACCCCAGACCCCGACCCGAGATGACCATGGTCTCGGTGTATTAGTGTGTGTTTGTTTTGGTGTATTAGCGTGTGCTTTATTCTGGTTGAAAACGGATTGGATTTGTTTTGCACTTAACTCATTTTGAACCAACCCATAAGCAACTCAACCCACTCATTTGCCACCTCTAAAAATAACCATAAAGAGACGCTCTTGACCATTTGTGAAGGGAACCCATGTTCTGGTTCACTGAATGCTGTACTTGCCTGTCTCAGCCAAAAAATCTAATCTCCAACTCAATGTTAGGGTTCTGTGGTTGACATAAGAACCTTTTGTCGTAGTACCACTATCAATTTTCTAGGTTTTAATTTTCACTTTGTTTTGATATGAATAGCAAGAAAGGAGTATAGCTATCTAGTCAAACTGCAATATTTGGACCCTCTTTGAACATTTCAGCGATTTAGTTGGAGTGAATGCGCTTTCCATTTATGTTTGGTTTATGTGATCAATCTGCTGTGGAACGTTCAATTGAGTTTTCCTTTTCTTTCATCTTTCCTTGGTAATATATCTTGCATTCCTTTCATGTGCTTCTTCTCTTGCTTAGCTTGGCACATCTACCTTTATTTTCCTAGTGTTCATACTAATTTCTTGTGGAGGACTTATAAAGATAATATTTTGTTAGGTCGGATTGGCAGATAAACTAAACACTTTGGTGAGGGATCTTTCTGGAGGCATGAAGAGGAAGTTGTCCCTTGGAATTGCACTGATAGGAAATAGCAAGGTGAACACAACTGTCAGGAAATTGTTCTGTTATTTCTGTTTGTTGGAATTTGCTAAAATTGTTTCTCTTTTATCAAACAGGTTATTGTTCTTGATGAACCTACAAGTGGAATGGATCCATATTCAATGCGGTTGACTTGGCAATTGATCAAAAGACTAAAGAAAGGCAGGATAATATTGTTAACTACACATTCCATGGATGAAGCTGATGTACTAGGAGATCGGATAGCTATCATGGCTAATGGTTCCTTAAAATGCTGCGGAAGGTTTTTCTTGTGTTCTTTTTTAAATATTCAGGCACAATATTCCATTTTGCTTGAAAAATTGAAGAATAAATGTGTTTTATTGGTGTACTAGCAATAACCTGTGCCTAAAGGCACTGGGTAATACAAATACATTGAACATCAGTCGTGTAGTATAAATATATAAAATAACAATGTATTTTTCTTTCTTTTCTATAATTACACAATTCAAATCTATCTTATCCCACCATTTAAAAAGTATGGGGTGGATGGAATTTCCGACTTTGGGAGAATTTGGCCTTGACTAGCGTGAAGAGGCATGGGCTGAGGGGGGTTTCAGTTTGTGGGGGAAATTTTTTGGGGATGTTTTGAGCCATTGGATTGAATGAATCTCAATCACTCTTGTGGTAGGGCTAACTTAAGGATTCAAAATCAGTCCTGTTTTCTAATATAGGTATTGCACAAAAATAATGGTCTTAAAAGCAAGAGGCAAATCCATGCCTTTTCATGTATTTGTTTTTTGAGGTTATACATGCAAAGAAAACATCCCCCTGCACCCTGATCCCATTTGGCACCTGTGGGTTGCAAGACAGTGAGAAACAAATTTTACTTTTTGGATTTTTTGGGGTTTGTAATTGTTATCGTGTTGTTATTTTATGTCTTCTCTCATTTTCTTAATGGAGTCTGCATTTTCAACAGCTCCCTTTTCTTGAAGCACCAATATGGTGTTGGATATACTCTCACTCTGGTGAAGGTGCATAATCATCCCTGTTCACTTTGCTCTTAGTCATCTTTATTGTTCTTGCTTTCATGCTTTTAAGACAGTTGATGTGATTATGGATTAACAGAATGATTCTGGTGCCTCGGTGGTCTCTGATATTGTTTACCGCCACGTTCCATCGGCAATATGCGTGAGCGAAGTATTCCTCTACCCTTCTATGCTGAATGATTATTTCATTAATGTGATAGATGATTTTATACGTACTGCAGTGTCTATGACTCTATGTGCTAAACTGCCTATATTTGATGTAAAAGTTCTCTTATGGATTTTTTGTACGGCATGAAATGTCTTTTTTTTTGATTGATTAATGACCATGTTCCTATGATTATGTGATACTGGATGTTACTAATTCTGATTTGTTTTTCAGTAACTGTCTGTCTGATAATGTATATTCCTGAATGTTACAAATGCTAATCTGGCATTCTGCTTATATAACTATTTGAAATTCAATATACCTCTACAGGTTGGAACTGAGATCTCCTTTAAGCTTCCTCTAGCATCCTCATGTTCATTTGAAAGCATGTTTAGGGAAATTGAGAGCTGCATGAGACGATCAGGTCCTAACTTTGGAAGTGCTGATTGTAAGGACAGACAGTTTCCTGGTATTGAGAGTTATGGTATCTCTGTCACAACCCTAGAGGAGGTATTCCTGAGAGTTGCAGGATGTGATATTAATGAAGCTGAATGTGTTGAGGAGGGAAAAACTTCAGTTTTACCAGATCCTGCCGTTCTTCAAGCCTGTCCTACTAATGCTCCAAAAAAATATTTCCATTCCAAACTATGGGGAAGTAATATGAAGGTCATCGGGCTGATATTTACCATTGTGGGGAGAGCATTCGGTATTTTCTTGGATACCATCCTTAGAATTATAAACTTCTTAACATTGCAATGCTTCAGCTGTTGCTTACTTCCGAGGACAACATTTTGGCAACATTGTAAAGCTTTGCTTATAAAGCGGGCAATATCTGCTCGGAGAGATCGGAAAACTATGGTTTTCCAGCTGTTAATTCCTGCCATCTTCTTGCTTTTCGGTCTTCTCTTTCTCGAGCTTAAGCCGCATCCTGATCAAGTTTCTGTGACCTTCTCAACTTCTTATTTTAATCCTCTGCTGAGTGGTGGTGGTGGTGGTGGTCCAATTCCCTTTGACCTATCCCAGCCTATCTCACAGGAGGTTTGTGAGTTCCTCTTAATTTCTTTACTGTAACCTTATTCATTAAATGTTGCCTCTGTTATTGAATGTTAAGATTATCAGAATATCTGTAGTTGACACTAACTAACTTCATATCTATTAGTACTGCAGTTTGCAAGCTATATAAAAGGTGGCTGGATTCAAAGGTTTAGACAGAGCAGTTATAGATTCCCTAATTCAGCGAAGGCGTTAGCTGATGCTATTGAGGCAGCTGGGCCAAATCTGGGGCCTGTTCTACTTTCCATGAGTGAATATCTGATGTCTAGCTTTAATGAATCGTATCAGTCTAGGTGTGTTCTCATGAAGTTCTTTGTCCTGTTTTTTTTTCTCTTTTTCTTTTCCCTTTATCTGTGTTGGCTTATTTTTCAGTGTGATTGAACTACCTCATTCTGTTCTTTACAATGAATCTTAATCATTTATAAGTGATTCCATCATACTTTTCAATCATGTGCAATTTTGTGGCACTCACTCCATTGTTTTTTTTTCCTGGTAGTAGATTCTTATTCTGAATTCTTACTAAGCTTAGTTATAGTTTGCTTCAGCTGGTACATGGAGCTCTTATATTTGATTGTATTTTCTTCAATGCGTTGGCTATGCAATGGTGAGAGTGACGTTACTAATTCAGGATTGGACGATCAATATTTTTTATTTGTATAAAAAATGTTATTATTTGTCAACAAGCTAATACAATTTATATATGTAGAAAGTATTGGAGAGCAAATTCTGAGGTACAATGTCATCGTGTCAGTGATATGCTTATATTGTCAATTCAACTCAACTCAACAAAGTCTTGCCCCAGTATTTTTGGGGTCGACTACATGAATTATCTTTCTCCATTTTGCTCGATCATGGGTCCTGCTTTCTATTAAAACATAGGTTATCATGTCAAATATAGGTTATGATGTCTTTCTATACTATTTCACTTTGTCTCACTGGCGCGGTAGTAGGCCGTCTATAGATATGTCCAAAGTCCAAACTGCCAAAATCGATTCTTCCTTAATGTATCCTCTGCAGGGGCTGCTTCTAATTTTTCATGAAAAAATATATTTCTTAATTCTATTTTCCTAGTTTTATCACACGTCCATCTTAATGTTCTAATTTTGTTACACTCATTTTGTTCTTAGTTGGCCAATATTCTGTAGCATAAAATATAGAGGGTCTTCTGGCCGTTGTAAAGAAATTTCCTTTTAGCTTAAGTGGTATGTGTCTATCACAAAGTACCCCGGATACATTCCTCCATTTAGTCTATCCCACATTGATTCTATGAGTAACATTTTCATCAATCTCAAACTTTGTATGAAATACTTAAAATGTTCGCTCTTTGGTACCTCTTAATCTTCAATTTTTACTACTTCGTGATTTGAATTCCTCCTTTTAGTAAAGTTACACTACATATATTTAGACTTAGTCCTACTTATCCTAAATCCTTTTGATTCTAAAGTTTGTCGCCATATTTCTAGTTTGTTATTAATTCTTTCTTTACTTTCATGAACTAATATAATATCATCCGCAAATAATATACACCACAGAAGCTGATCCTGAATATATCTAGTCAATTCATCCATAATCAATGCAAAAAAGATATGAACTCAAAGAAGAACCCTGATGTAAGCCTATAGTTATCGAAAATTCTTTAGTGTCCCTAGCTGTTGTTTTCATCAAGGTCACCACATTTTCATACGTATCTTTAATCACATCAATGTACTTAATAATAACTTTTTTCTTCTCTAGACCCTTGCATAAAATATCTCTAGCGATGCAATCATATGTCTTCCGTAAGTCTATAAAACAATATAAAGATCCTTATTTTTCTCTTTGTACCTCTTCATTAGTCTCCGAAGTAAGTATATAGCTTCTATAGTTGATCTCCGGGGTATGAATCCAAATTGACTCTTAGATACCGTTATTTCAAACCTTAGTTTTTGCTTAATTACTCTCTCCCAAAGTTTCATGGTATGACTCATTAGTTTAATACCCATATAGTTTGTGCAACTTTATATGTTTCCCTTATTCTTATATGTAGGTACTAACATACTCTTCCTCAACTCATTGGGCATTTTCTTAAGCGTTATAATTTTATTGAATAGTTTAGTAGGCCATGATATCCCAATGTCCCCTAGGCACTTCTAAACCTCAATAGGTATATCATCCAGTCCTAAAGCTTTTCTTTTCTTCATTTTGTTTAATGCCTCTAACCTCCCACATCCTAATTCTATATTAAAAAAAATGTATTTTCTCTAGTCTCCCATTAATTTCTATATTCCTCAATGCCCAAGATTCTTATATGATTTTTATTTAATAACTTTTCAAAGTAATTCTTCCACCTTTCTTTAATTTTGTCGTTTTGTACTAGGACCATAGAGTTTTCACTCTATATGCATTTAATATGATTCACATCTTCTGTTTTTTTCCCCTTAGTTTAGCTATACTTTTTTCTCCATCCTTTGTATCTAGTTTAGGGTGAAGATCATCATATGCTTTGTACTTGGCTTCTCTTACTCTATTTTTCACTTCTTTATTTGCAAGCTTGTAACGTTTAAAGTTCTTTTTGTTTTTAGTTTTTGTCCATGTTTTATAGCACTCTTTTTTTGCTTTTACTTCATGTTGGCCCTCATTATTCCACCTCCAAGTTTCTCTTGCTAATGGTCCATTACCCCTTGATTCTCCAAGAACCTCAATAGATGCTTTTTTTAATACACTTAACCATCTTATTCCACAGTACATTTGTTTCATCTTCTAAATCCCATGCTATTTCTTTTAGTGGTATGCCTGTATTCAGTTTATGAAAATGATTAAAAATTGATGTCCAACAAAAAAAAAAGTGATAATAATTGGAGTTGCTTTTTTAATCTCTTTCAGACAATAGGCTGTCACAATATATTTAGTAATGAGATGTATAACTTATGCTTCCACTGTTGGAGCATGCTCTTGTTTATATTATTCTTCTGTTGGAGATTGGTTTTCCTTTGGGGTAAAAATCTTATTTGGCCCCTAAACTTTGCACCAATTTTCAGTTAAGCCTCATTCTACTTAAAAGTTCCAATGTATCTTTTTTGTCCAATTACATCAAAAACCTCAACATAAAAATGCACGCATGTCTCACTTGATTTGGGAAGTGGCACTATTTACAACAATACACAACGTGTAAAATTGTATTTGGCCTCTAAACTTTGAATTCAATATCAATTAAGCACTTATTCTTTATTTTGTCTCAATTAAGGCCTCCAACTATTCTAGAAGTTCCAATGCACTCCTTTCATCCTATTATGTAAAAAACCCCCTGATAGATAAATACAAATGTGAATCTCATGTGCATTTTCAGGGCCATGTAATTAAATACCAGCAAAAAGGGTGCCAAAAATTCCCTCCAAAAACTAACATGTGAAGCATGTAAATTGAAACCAACCATTGCCTTTAATAACCAGGCGAGTCATGCTCTTATCATCAGACAAAAAACATAACTGAGACACCTGGGAGAGAGAGGGAAAAGGGAGGAAAGAGCAAGTCATCACTTGTGATTGTGGGAAAAAGGCAATGATTAAAACATCTTGATGGATCAAAACCCTAGATGGATCAGAACCCCGGGAGGAGGTTTCTAAATTGTCAGAATGGCCTTGCAATGCAATCTGAAATTTAGAAACCTCCCATGGTTTTGATCTGAGGAGGATATTCTTATCCATTTTCCCACAATCTCAAAATATTGGTTGCTCTTTCTCCATCTTTCCTCTCTCTTAGGTGTGTCTTGTCATCCTCTATTTGGATGTAAACGCAGAGAATGAATGGCATGATTATGACAGGCAATGGTTGATTTCATCTCATGTGCCAAGCATGGGAGTCCCTTGAGGGGTTTCTTGGCACTCTTTTTTACTGGTTTTCCATTGCATGCTCCTATCGAGTAATATGAGATGCAAATTTACGTTTTTCTGTTTACATTGGAACTTCTTTTAAATAGTTAGGCATCTTAATGTAGACAAAATAAATGTTTAAGGCTTTGTTGAAAGTTATTCCAAAGTATAAGAACGACATATAATATTTAGCCCGTTATGTTGCCCTCGATACTACCACAGATCTAGTTACGTGAGGATTTCTGCTAGTTCTTGCTGTAGTTGGACGAAAGACGTACATTGGAACTTCTATATTGTTGGAGGGCTTAATTGAGACAAAATAAAGATTAAGGGATTACATGAAATTGAGTGCAAACCTTGGTGGCCAAATATGATTTTTTTTGCCTAGATTTTAAGAAATGACTATTGTCTCTCTCCCTCTATCTCTTCGTTTTAATAGTGTACGTTTCTCCGTTTTAAGCAGTCCTTTTTTCTGTTTGTTATCGGTTGCTTCTCAAAATAAATTGCAGTTCATCAGAAATCGTGGAAAGAATAAGAAGAGGGTAATTGGAAACTTGAAACTTGACCGCATGCAAATAATTGTTGCTGTTTGGGTTCTGCTTTTTCTGAGAAGATGTTTTCCATATTAATCTTTGTTCCATTTTGTGCATGTGCATTTGCAGGTATGGAGCAGTCATAATGGATGGTTTGAATGATGATGGAAGTCTAGGGTACACAATTCTACACAATAGTTCTTGTCAACATGCTGCTCCAACATTCATCAATTTAATGAACTCGGCAGTTCTTAGGCTTGCTACTCTTAATGGAAACATGACGATTCGGACACGGAATCACCCTCTGCCCATGACTGAAAGCCAGCGGTTGCAACGTCATGTATGCTTTTCTGTCCTTTATTTATCATGATTAAAAGTCAAACTTCATGGTTCCCAGCTATGTTACAGATGATTCCTTTTTTATTTTATGTAATATTATATTTTTTTTTTGTCATTTCATTTTTCCAGAAGAAGCTGTGTTTAGATACTATGTTTATTTTATTCTTTAGGTCCGTTTTTCCAATTTAGGCCTCGGTAAGAGTGCAAATGATGCCTTTTGGTGTTCTTAAACCAACTTGTCTGTGTTAGGAATCTTTGCTGACACCAAGATTCATGTTCCCATTCAGAAATCATGTAGTTTAAAGATTCTACTTGTTATAACATCTAATTCAAACTCAATTGGCAACGAATTGGAGCTTAACTATATAAACTAACCTTTGGTGGTCCTAATTATTTGTTGTGATATAGAAACTTTACATCCTCTCTTGTGTGGGTAAGAGGCTTGATCCACTGATCATTCAATGCCTAACTTTGATACCATGCTAGGGTATCAAACTCAACACTAATTTGTGATGAGCGAAGAGATCCCATAACCATATAAACCCACCTTGGATGGTCTTAATCGTTAAGAGAGCTTACCACATTGAGTAATTAGGATCACCGATGTTGATTTATATACTTGAAGGGCTACTCCATTCATTGCCAATTAATTTTGGGTCGGATGCTCTAATGTGGTGTCAAAGCTGGGTTTATTAGTGGGTCACGTTTCTTATCTATTTGAATATCTCGGTATGCATTGTTGTTTGTTTGTTGACCCCACATGCGAGCTCGGGTCCCATGTGAGGGAGGGTGTTAAAAGAACTTAGATCTCATATCGAATAATTATGATCACCAAGGTTAGTTTATGTTAGAATGTTATTTTTCTATTATGTTATTTTTCTATTGTTCTACTTTTCCATTATGTGATTTTCTTATTATATTCTACTTTCCTAATATTGTAGTGGTGATCAATATTAAATAGGTGATAAGAGTGTCGGCAACGCGCATCTTACGCACAATATTGTTTCATACTCTCTTTCTTCCCTTATTCTTTTCATTCATTTTCTTAACCCTAGCATACATTATTCTAGTGTTAACTTGGTATCAAAGCAATAAACTTGCTTGAGTGTAGCCTATCCCTAGGTGAGTCCCTCGCTCGCCTAGTGGTAGTGTCGTTCCAACACTAAATTGTAGTCATATGCATGTTTGCCAGTTGTTGTTGCCGGAATCACTCTTAAGATGTAATTTTCCTGTCGTCGGTATCTTCCTTTGCTATTCATAATTAGTTGTTGTGAGGTTCCTGAATCCGTATTCGTGTCACCGGTGTCTAAACATTGGTGCGGATTTTAGTGTTTTCAAGCTGATTTAGTGTTTGTTTAGGGATATTCCACCTAGTTCGGTGCTGCTTTAGTGGTTTTTATCGGGTTCATGTATGGTTCAGGGTTTTTAGCCAATATTTAGTGTTAGATCGGTGGTTTTCGGATTAGTTTGGTACTAGTTCAGTGTTTTTATCCCGGTTCAATTACGGTTTAGTGTTTTTCGCCTAGTTTAGTGTCGGTTCAATGGTTTTCGAGCTAGTTTTGTGTTTGATTAAGTGGTTTTTATCCTGGTTTAATTCTGGTTCAACGATTTCAACCTGGTTTAGTGCCATTTCAGGGGTTTTTGGCATAGTTTGGCGTTGGGTTTGTGGTTTTCATCCCTATTTAACTCCTTTCAGTGTTTTCAACGTAATTTAGTGATAGTTCAGTGGTTTTCGACACAACTTGATGGTGGTTTAGTAGTTTTCATCCCAGTTTAGTTCCCGCACAATGTTTTCAACGTGATTCATTGCCAATTTTGGAGTTTTCATCAAGATTCTATATTGGTTTTGTGGTTTTCAGCACTAGTTCAGTCCCTTTTTGGCTGATTCAGCTTCAGTTCTACTTGATTACCTTATTTTCAGTTGTTGTTGTTTAATTTATTGTTGAATGTTGCTCATTGTGGTGTTGTATGTTGTGTTTATTTGTATCGGTATTGTGGTTGGTGGTGTTGTGTTTATACCGGTATCGTCATTTGCTATTGCTTATTTTTGTGTGGTCATTACGTGCTTATTTTATTCGAGGGGAGTATCATGGTAGTATGTGTCAATTAAAGAAGTCTTGGAATGGTCTAAAACAATCACCTAGAACATGATTTTATCATCCTTATTGTCTACTGGGAGATATTGCAATCAACTTGGTGAATTTCTCACCAATGACCAGACCATTGGTGCAGTCGACCTATAGTAACCTTTATTCCAACCTGGTCTCTATGCTTCATTTTTGAGGGGGAATGTGAGAATGTTACTTTCCTATTATATTATTTTCCTATTGTTCTAGTTTCTTATTATGGGGTTTCCTATTATGTTTTACTTTCTTAATACTCTCTTGCTTCTCTTCTTATTCTTCTCTTTATTTTCCTTAACCCTAACATACAATTATTCAAGTTTCAACAGCTTATATACTTGAGGAACTATTCCACCCATTGCCAATTGGTTTGGGGTTGGATGCTCTAAGACTAATAATTCGATGTGAGATAGAAGCCCTTTGTACATTCTGTACTTTCAACTTAGTTGTGGATACTTTTATATTGCCTGTGTAATGTGTCAAACTGGATGATGATGTTTGATATGCATACTTGTTTCGTGTGTCAGCACAGCAGAAGGATTCTAAAATCGATTATTATTTGTTTCATGGCTTTCAATCAAAATTGTGTTTTGCTATAGGTGATGTAAATGGGCACATATGTAATGCTGTGACTGTGATGTATTTGCATTAGGGCGACAATGAGATTTAATGCCTTATCTGCCTTCATAACTTTTACTATGTCCATTTGTAGGATCTGGATGCTTTCTCTGCTGCAATTGTTGTTAATATTGCCTTCTCCTTTATCCCTGCTTCCTTTGCCATTGCTATCGTAAAGGTACCTTTTCCAACTCTATACGAAACATGTGCTATGGGAATGCTGCAGTGTGGAGTTGCTGTATTGTTACAGTTAATAGGTCGTTATCAATGCTGGTTAATGGGAAATGAAAAAAGAGCTGTTCTAGGCAGGGACGTTGTTAAATTTTCTTATTCTGCCCCTCAATGGATTTGTAAAACATTCATTTACTAAGACATTTAAATTTTGACTTGTTCTGTGTGTATACCAAATAGTCAATAACTTCTGTACTGCCCAGACAATTTCACTGAGGAAAAAAAAATTGCATGGACCTGATAAGCTCTGACTTGTGACGCATTTAATGTGCAAAGTTGTTGTAAATCATAGTTTACTATTCCATTGTCTCATTTTCTAATGAATTTATCCCATGTAAAAGCTCAAGAAGGGATATGCCAATATTTGGGCTCATCGGTAGCCTCTCATAAATGGGCCATTCGTATGAAACATATCTATTTTATTATATAAAGGTTCTGTAACCAGCTTTATGGAACTAGTTACTTTGGAGGGGGGGGGGGGGGAGGGGGGGAGGGGTAACAGCATGTATGGGCAATACACAATGCACTCTAAGCATTATTTTACATGTGGGGGTGGTATAAGTAAGCAATGCTAATGCTCAATACATTGTATGCTCTCTACTTTGGATCTTGCTGTTCTAGTAAATGTTTAAATCATATGATTGTGGTTCTAGAATGTAAGCATATATTTGTTTGATGCAGGAACGGGAAGTGAGAGCTAAGCATCAGCAATTAATAAGTGGGGTGTGTATGATTTTAAAAATTTAGCTTCTTTATTTTGTCCTGCCTGAATTTATGCTAGCAACGTTCATTTTGTAATTGTTTAAATCATACTCAGGTGTCCATACTTTCATATTGGGCTTCTACATACATATGGGACTTCATCAGCTTCTTGTTTCCTGCATCTTTTGCAATAGTTCTCTTTTACATATTTGGTACGTATTGGGACTTCATTTCTGGCTGTATCGGTGTGTTGCAAAGAATTTAAGAATGCCTTAGTCATGGATTAATCATAGACTTCTGGAGTAACTGAAGTTGACTTATAGAGGTCACAAATTTTCAATGTACCACGTTGTCCTTTTATTCTATAGCTTTTTAAGTTGAAAATATATAGACTATGATAGTGCATCGCTAGACACTGGATAGTGGGGTGAATGTTTTATAATTTATCCACAGTTGTTAGTATCGTACGATACGCAATACGTATTGTGCGATACGTCACGATATAGAGGTAAAACGATACGAATTGGAGTTTTGTATCCTTTTTGTATAGTTTTACGATACGATACGTATCGGTCGATACGAACGATATACGAAGTCTTTGTTTTTTTTTTTTTTTTGATTAGAATGTACGGTAAATCAACAAAAATAGAAATGAAGAGAAGAATTACCAGTCCACCAAACCAGCAAATCAGCAAAAAAACCCAAGCAAAAGCAAAGCAAATAAATTTTTGAAATTGAAAAAAATAGCAACACTAATCTGTAAATTTCGGATGAAACTTTAGGTTGATTTTTCTTCAGATTTTAGAAAACACTTCTTCTTCCCGCTCTGTCTTATGATCCCACTTGTCTTACGATTGCTGTCGCGATCTTTCTCGCTGCCTCTCGATCGCTCTCACGATCTTTCCCTCTAATCTTTTTTTTTTTGATCAGGCACTATGTTTTAAATAGGTAGAATTACACCTAGACCCCTGGAAGTTTGTCACTTAATCACTCAGACTCCCTAATATTTGAAATATTACACACAGACTCCCTAAAGTTTATACACGCATAACACTTAAACCCCTATTGTAAATATATCTGTTAATAAATTATATATAGACACTCTAAAATTTGTGAACATATATTTTATTATTAATTATTTAAAATTGCATCTTATCTTACGATACACGATACACGATACACTATTTTTAAAAGACGATACATCTTCCGATACGCGATTTGACAACTATGAATTTATCAGTCTATGATATCTATTGATGTGTGGTCGATATCATTCATTTTAGTGAAAGAACAATGAAAATATCAACATCTCTGCTGATAGGAACTTCAACTTTGCATTGAAGTTCGACAAGACCTATTGCTTATGGATTCTTTGGTTCAACAATATGTCTTCTTTGTTTTAATCTTATTCTTTAGGTTACATAAAATATCCCAATTGCATCCGTTTGATATTGATATCAATATATGTATGTTAGGATCTAAACAATCAAATTTTGACACATTTTTAAAAATGAAGATAATTCATAGTTATATGTGGCTTCTAAAATTCTATTTTCATTTCATCCACATCATTAGCAAAGGATGTTAATATGTGTGTTAAACAATCATTTACTCCAAAAACTTAAAATGTTGGAGATGGTGTAATTTAAATATTTATACTTAAATACATCCCCACTTATGCATTTTAATTTTTGGGCCTAGTACGTATCTTTTTATAACTAAGGTGACGGCGAGATTCGAATAAAGGATCTCATGGCTCGATACCATGAATATGTGGGGAGACTAGGAGCCCAATCTTCAAAGCCCAATATACATGTTTGGGACTCATACTTGCCTAAAAATTTAAGCCTATAAGTGGTGAACCCATCCATTATATATTGGGACGCTTTAATTTATTTTTTTACTTGATGTGAGATTTCCATACATGCAATATCCAACAATTCCCCCCTCATGTGTGAACCACATTGGGCTTTGTTTCCCCTTAAATTTGACCCACCACTCTCCACAAGCATTGCATCCAACCATTCTTTATAAGGGTCTGCTCTTCCTGGAACAAAGCTTTTACAACTCTTTTATGTGTTACCGCATAATTACACTTCCAAGAGGCTTTGCGCCCAGGCCCACGCCCTGCTCTTTTATTTTAGTTGCATTGTCATGACTTCAATATTAAGAACCCATTACTTTTTTTTACGAGTCATCATTGGTACCGGCACGTTGCACCGCTTCTTCTAGAATTCTAGAGTTCACCCAGAATCGTTAGCTATCGGCTCTAATACTATTTGTTTGGAGACTGAGAGCCCAATCTTCAAGGCCCAATGTTTAGAACCCATACCCACCCAAAAGCTTGAGTTGTTTGTGATGGTGTAACTTAAAGTATAAAATACTTCAAACATTGTGCAATTTTATGCAAAGTATACTAAACAAATTTTCTACCTTTGCACTCATATTTTAACCCCTCTCTTCATTTTCTCTCATGGCAAATACCTCTTGCTGGTTTCTTTTCCTGACAGCTCAATAAAGTTCACTGTGGTTTTGTAGGTTTGGATCAGTTCATTGGAAGGGATTCTTTACTGCCCACAGGTCTTATGTTTCTGGAATATGGACTTGCTATTGCATCATCAACCTATTGCCTCACTTTTTTCTTTTATGAACACAGCATGGCACAGGTAGTGCTAGTCTGTATTTTGCTGTGTAAGCTGATATTGCTCTTTTTCTGCCTGTGCTGATGTTTTTGTTGTGCATGCAGAACGTGGTACTCTTGGTCCACACTTTCACTGGGCTTGTTCTTATGGTTATATCATTTATCATGGGGCTTATACAGACAACTGCACGTCTGAATTCTTTTCTCAAGGTTGGAAACAAGGAATTTTTTAAGCACATGCCTCTCAACATACTGAATTAATGTGGAACATTCCTACTTCTAAATTTTTTAATTATATTGGTTCCAATAGTGAGCTGACATCGGACAAGTGCAGAGAAAGAATCTCTTATGCACTATGATACCAAAATGAATGTTGAGCAGTGGAAAAACCCTTAAAATTCCTTGTTAAGGTTTGTCTTTGATGTCAAAGGACTGGTAAAGGTTTGGACTTTTAGGCCTTAAATAGGTGCAAGTGGTGATGGTTTTGGGGATTGCATTAGCTAAGAAGGAGAAGCTTTGGGATTGTTTATGGTCACTAAAGTATAGCTATGGACAATAATAAGGCTCGTTTCGGGTAATTTATGGTTGGTATCGTGGAAGGTAAGGATTGGGCTTCAAACTAGGACATGTATGGTGGCAAGGTGATGGCATCAGATTTGGAGAATTGAGATAATGGGAAAAAGAAGAAATAATAGAAAAAGAAAGCTTAATCACACAAACACGATGTCAGTCTCTTCTTGAATATAAAGTTTAAATTGGTATTTATTGGCTGCAGGATTCTCTTAGTTCTATTCAAATTATCAAGTTTTTGATTCAAGAATAAGGGAATACTTGGCTTTCTACTTCCAATGGTATTCTAGAATATCCAAGACTCCAAAACTAATCCAAATACTTAGTTTGGAGTTATATTTGAGCTTATTTACTATTAGGGGTATTCTAGTCTTTCTCTTGTAGTAGGTTTGGTGTAGCAGTCTTTTTTTCTATCTTACTCTTTTTCGGATGTATTTTCTTATTTGCAAGTTTATGTAAGTTTTCATGGTATCAAAGCCAATTCCCATTAGTTGTCGTTCTTTGGATTTGCAATCAGTGTAGCATGAACAGTGTTGTGAACAGTAACATGAACAGGGTTGTACTTGTGGCTGCTATTGTGTTACCTTCTTAAAATTTTTTAAAATTATGGAGAAAACCCTAAATTTTCACTAGCTGTAGAAATTTTAGAATCAATCCAACAAATTGTAGATTTTGCCCCAGAAGAGTGCATTAATTGCAGCCTACTACTTCTATCCATAGTTATTAAAACCGGATTGGACTTCAACCCGGCAAAAGGATCGGGTCACTGGTTCAACCGTTGGGTCAATTGGTCGAACCGGTCTTATAATTAAGAAATAAAAATAATTATTAATAAGATGAATATGCTAAAAAAATTATAGTAGTTACAAAAAATGCCATGTTTTATGTAATATGAGATCAAATAAAAACACTAAAATTTTTCATAATTCATCAATTTTATTAGACAATTTATAAATTTAATAGAGCTTAAAAAAATCCATCAACAGGCATTGAAAAGTAGTAACATGTGATGACAAAAGACAAGTGATTAAGACATTAGAAGGCAGATGACATTTCACAGCGAATATCATCCCACATTGGAAGGTCAAGGAAGACAAGAACAATATGTGGCCTATAAATGTTCACTTCAGCCACTCCAATTGGATTGCTTTGAATTGTGGGCGAAAACAATCCAGTGGAAGCCATGAGGGAGCCTTGCTGAGGCGTGGCAGCCACTTATTTGATTTCTAAAGACATGAAAAATTGTTTAATTTGACCAATTCATTTAGGTAGTCTGGTTTATCTGGTTTCTTTGGGTTTTACCAAAATTGATCGGTTTAGAGGGGTCTTAAGCTGTTGGAATGCGCAGAAGGGGGATCTAACTTAAGATCTGACCCGGCTTTGGGCATCGGGCTTTTGGGTTGACCCATCGGTCTGGTCCGAGTCTGATAACATTTCTTCTATCCTTGACTAAGGTTAAAAAAAAAAGGTTTGGTGTTGAAGCAAGAGTTATGGAAGGAAGGAAATAAGAGTTTTGAGAACTCGCACTATGGAAAATGGAAGTAATGTTGTCTGTTTCATCTCCTATAGGCTTGCCTTTATCAACACCTTCAAGTTTATCTTACTCTTCTTGGGTCTTTGATTCCGGTGTTACACTTTATATGATTAATGATCCATCTTTGTTTTCGTCTGCCTCATCCCCTTCTCCCCCTACCACTATTCTAACTGCCAGTGGGACTTCCATATCGGTGGTAGGGTTGGATTTGTTATGACTTTACTTCTCTCTCTTTCTAAGGTTTACTGTACCCATCAATTATCTCTCAATTTTATTTTTATCAGTCAACTTTCTATCTTAATTACATTGTTCAATTTTCCTCCGCTAGTTGTACTGTGCAAGATACTCATTCTCAGACGATGATTGGGACAGGACAGGCCATCGGGTTGAAGAAGTATATGTGCAAGAAAAATTGCATGTTTCAGCTGTGGCTACTCTTTCTATTGATTTGTCTTCCTTTTGTTTCAACCCTAAGCATTGTTATCAAAATCATAAGATTTGGGATTTGATTCGTACAATTTGATTCGATTTAGTCCCCATTTGATTCGTTGCATACTATAGAATCATTTTTGGCCTAGAATTGCAGTTGATTCGCAAGAATTGTACGATTAGATTCGAATTGAAGGAGTCACATGATTCGTTTAATTATTTTTTTAACCCTTTTTCTGGTAAAAACGACATCATTTTACTAGACGAGACCCACCCCCAAATATAAAACTCGTGTTTCTACCTCTCAAGTAATTGTTCAAGTGTCTATGAACATCACAAAGAGAGAACTTCTCTTTCATTCCTGGTGTGCTTCTTTTTCTTCAAAAACAACTACCAAATTCTAACATATCCTACTTCTTCTTCAATAAATGCTTTGTTTTTTGTTTTTCCGTCAAAAATGTATTTTTCAATCGAATGTGGGAAGTGATTTTCTAAGTTTATATGTTCGTATCAGTATGGACATTTCCTATTTTAGTTTAACTTCATTAGTAGGAAGACAATAACTATTTGTTGGTTAAAAATCATACATTTTTCATTGTGGCCATTTTAAGGAAACGATTTATTATGCGTTAAGAAAGAAGTAACATAGGTACAAACGATTTTTATTTAGACGACGTGACCACTTCAATACCTTCAATTAATTATTTTAAATACAATAATGTTCAATATTTAATATCTCGTCTATTTTAACATATACATGTTATTTTTTTTATCACTATTTGAATTTTGTGTCAAATCTTAAGATTTCTGATTTGATACGATTCTTGATCCTTAAATCTAAGATTTGGATTCTCGATACGAATCTCAATTTAATAACTATGACCCTAAGTCTTTTGTATTTCATTTATGATATTCTCGTCTTGAATATATTTCTAGTTCTCTTTTGAGACTTCTAGTTTTTACTGATGCTTTAGGAAATTTAAATAGTCATGATATTTCTGATTGTAGTGGTTGTAAACTTGTCAAATTCACAACTTTACCGTTCGATTTGTTCATTCTGATGTGTGGGATCCTGCCCCTATTGTAACCAACAGGGGCTCTTGATACTATATATTTCTTTTATTGATGATCATACTCGATAAAAAAATACATTCTGATAACAAAACAACTATTTTTATTGCAAGTAATCCGGTATTTTATGATCATACCAAACACATTGAGGTGAATTGCAATTTCATCAAAGATTTCTTAATGCGAAAGGAGATCATTACTCCAGATATCAAGTCTCGTGATCAACAGGGAGACATTCTTACCAAGCCATTGACTTGGTCTACCTTTAGTAGTTTATATTCCAAGCTGGGTGTTTTTAATCTATATGCTCTAACTTGAAGGGGAGTATTAGAGTTCTTAATTTCTATGTTAGACATAAGTTAATTAGTCTAGGGCAATATTGCAATTACCTTAAAATTGATTAGTTATAAATAAAGAGTGTAGGGCAACCTAGCCACTACATACAATTGATTATTCTTGTTCTTCTTCTCTTTCCCTCGACCATAATATTGCTTTTACTATTTCAACCGAAAGGTTATATGGTAAACCTCCTAATTACTTATTGCATGTGTATGGTAATACTTGTTTTGTTTTTCTTCCTAAATCTAAAAGAAATAAGTTGTCTGCTCGTTCTACTGGGTGTGTTTTGCTTGGTTATGATGAGCTAGGAAGCACAGACACTTTATTTTGGTCAGAGTGTCGGTGTTGAGCTCATCGAGGACATCGACACACTTCAGACACGTTAAAATAAGTGTCCAATTTTTTTGTTGTTAAATTTTTTGAAGGACACATTAGTCATAAACAACCGACACTATTAGGACACGTTTTGCAATATTTTTTTTTTGAATTTTTGAGAACCTTTTAGATAATTTTATAATTAGGAGTTATTTTTATAATTTTAAAGAAATGAGTGAAAGTCATAATAAATATAAAAGGAGTTATAATTGCTATATTGAACATAGGACATGAATGTAACATAATTTTGAATACGAATATGAACTTATATATAAATGGAATAAACTTTTAATATGAAAGGAATGTGAGAAAAAATGACATTACAAAATTGGGGTTCTTTGATATTGATGAAAATTAGTTTTGCGTGAAATATTTTTAAAAATAAAAGTTGTAGTAGTCATTGATTGTTGGATCATGAATGTTAATATTAAATGTTTATTGGCATATCTTATATTGTATTTTTTATGCAATTATATTATGATGTGAATTTTTAGAATTAGGGAAATGATGAATTAAAAGTTTATTATGATGATATTTATTTTATCACATAGTTATATATATATATATATATATATATATATATATATAGTTTATATATATAAATATATATTATTTAACGTATCCCAAATGTGTCCGTGTACTACTTTTTTGAAAAAATTTGTATCGGCGTGTTCGTGTCATATCGTATCCACGTCCTTGCTTCTTAGATGGTGAGGGATAAAAAAGGTATCATTGTTATTACTTTATTGCAAAAACATTATATGTATCTGGAGTCTAGACACGTGGTCTTCTTTGAACATATTACTTTCTTTTGCATTCTTTCTGTTTTTGACATGTTTAATAAATCTGATCTGATTTATATTGATCTTTTCCCTAATGATATTTCTGGTGATTTTTATATTCATAACATGCTTACTTGTGACATCCATTGTTTGCTTCAATC